ATCCCGAAGGCCGCGATTTGTGGTTAAAAAGGCTGAGGAGGTATTTCGATACCTTGCTGCAACTCCAACGTTAGGCTTGACGTTTGGAGCAATCGCAACATGCGAAAAAGAAAGGAATGAGGTGTTGCGTTATGGGCGAGGCGTCAAGGTGGTGGAGTCCTACGCGGATGCTAGCTTTGCAGCAGGTGAAAACGAAAAGAGCCACTCAGGAGCGGTGGTGGTTTGGGGTGATTGTCCAGTGATGTGGGCAACGCAGAGACAATCAACGGTGGCTTTAAGTACTGCTGAAGCTGAGTTGCATGCGTCTATAGAGGGAGCCGGTGTCAGGTCTCTGGTGGACCGTGGGTACATGGTGATAGCGCATCTTCGCGGTGAGTATATGATTGCTGACCTGTTGACAAAATTGATGAGTGGACAGGTGTATGCAAAGCAAAAGGCACTTTGGGGTCTCCAACTGTTGGTGCAAGGAACTGACTTGAAAAGGGCCTCTCTTGCAATGGCGGTCATGATGGTGGCTGCATCTCTGCAAGGGATGGCAACTGGTGGAGAAGAAGTGTCAAATGCTGGTTTCTTTTGCTCAGAAGAAGGGGTGTGCAAGGTCGCCAACACATCTACGGTTATGGTTCTGGCTCAAGGTATTGAAATGGTTATCAACAATTCAGACCTTGTTGCGTATTTGGTGGCAGCAATTATACTCTGGGAATTGGCATGGTGCCTCTTTCGGCGGCTGTATAAATGGCTGTGGATCAAGAAAGTGGTGGTTATTCCTGCGAGTGCCACTTTGTATACAACAGTGGGTGGGAACTGTATGCACGCAAGCAGTGACTGTGATGTTCTGCGATATTCACAGCCCAGGGCTAAGACGCTTTGTAAGCATTGCCTCAAGGATGGCTGGGTGGTGAATGCTGAGTTCCTTGGTGAGGAACGAGCCGCGGGAACGTAAACTTTTTCAAGTGTGAGGTGAAGAAATCCTCAATGCTAAGGGATTTGGCCAATGAGCTGAAGGTTGGTCCTGGATGACGTAAAACCATAATGTGCATTCCAAGCAGCTGGCTGCTGCCCTAATGGCAGTTTTTGGCCAAAGGTCTGCACCTCCAATGTGTGTCCTAGGAAATCCTAGGACAGGGGGAGTGCGGAGCTGCAGTTGGTATTGTAGAAAGGAGTTGGTGTTGAAAGTTGAAGGGTCAATGTACCTGCTGATCTTCATGGCTCAAGACTGGGCCATGCGCCTGGTAGCAAAAAGAAGTTTTGAGTTCTTGGTGTTTGCTGGTTGGTTCAGGGTGAAACCTCTGGCGACTGTTTGGGTTGATTCCCTTCCCCTTTCGGTTGCCCCCGTACCCTAAACCCTAAACCCTAAACCGTAACGTCTAAGGTGGCCAGAGGCCTTCCTCCACGACAGCCCGGCTGGCAGAAGCCCCGGATTTGCCTAGCCTTGGGCCCCCAAATGACTCGAGAGATTAAGGTTTAGGGTTTAGGGTTTGGGTTTAGGGTTTAGGGTTTAGGGTTTAGGGTTTAGGGTTTAGGGTTTAGGGTTTAGGGTTTAGGGTTTAGGGTTTAGGATTATGCTGACGATGGCAGAATATGGCAAAAACAGACTACGGCGCAACTCAAACCTGAAAGAGTACGGCAGATCACCAAGGCTGCTAAGGGGTGCCCAAACCTGTTGTGCAAACCCCGCGAGCGCAGGGGTTTCAGCAGGTGCAAAAGCAGCAAAATGCCTGAGTTGATGCGCTGCCTCTTGCCGAGCCTTCATGATCCACTTGTAGAATCTGCATCAGAACACCTTGATGCAACTACAGGAACATGTGAACGCCACGTCAAGGTCAAACGCGGACACTACATGGCGGTCCACTCTTATAACTTCACAAACATGTTTGGCCGGAATGTATCCCGATGGGCCGTCACCATCAAACTTGGTTCTTGGTGACCATCCCTCGGCAAAATGTCCCGTGATGCTCTCGCTGTCGTCGGCCCTTTCTCAAGTCACATTCCCTTGACCGAGGTGGTCCATGTCACAGGTTCTGCTCAGGTATGTCAGGCCAGCCGTTGTACAAATCGGATTCCATGGCCATCGCCGTTGGGCTCACCAAGGCATACCAAGGCTGTGTCTGCACAGGCGCAGCGGCGCAGCGGCGCAGCACTTCCAGTTTTTGTTTTGGGTGAGCCTAGTTTCAGCGGTGGACTGAAAGACGTTTTTAGGGGACGGGCTGTTTCTATTATACTATCATACTGTGATACCATTATACTACTGTATTATCCTAGTATACCATTCCCATTCTACCATTATGTTATTATACTATTAGGGGGTGTTTTGGTGTTTTGGCTGAGGTGGCGGCAACGTCCAATGGAAGGGGGCCCGGCCCTAGTCCGAGGTGTCCTGTGCCTTCCATTCAGTGCATTGAAAACCAAAACTGTGGCAAGAAAACGTTTGCATAATAGTTTAATAGTAGAATAGTATAATAGTAGAACAGTATAATAGTAGACTAGTATAATAGTAGAATAGTATATTGGTATAATCGTATAACCTCTTTCCGCCGCAAACACCCAGCCTTAGCCAGAGACTGCACAAAACCTTGTGTCCGCCGAGTGTGAGGCAGCTGCTGACAATTGGGGTCTAGTGTGTAGGGCTTCAAGGTTCATGTTCGTGCTCTTGTGTGTCGAGGTTGGGCTTTGCAGGATGCAGGGTCTTTGCGCTGACAAATCTTACGATCGTGCATCTCACTTGGGATCTGCACCTCTTGGTACTACCTCACGGCCAGCGGCAAGCTTGCTTGTCTTTGCGGTGTTGAGGGCCATACCTCCTCCACTTCTCTTGCAATCCACGTGTTTGTGCTGAGTTTCGCTAATAAGCTAGACGTTGGGCATGCCCTTCCCGAAGCCCGGCTCGCAACATCTGAAGGTATCCTGAGGGCCTCATAGTCCCAAGCTCCCCAGCTCATTGGCTTGAGAATGGCCCAGCTACTGAGGCAGCAGTGTGAAGGAGGAGAGGGTTATATGAAACCCTGCAGGCTCCCAGATTTCAGCATGGGCCAGCTGGGTTCGTTGTCGTTTGTGCAGATCGCGGTAGTTCTTTGGACTCTGAAAGTTTCTGGGCCACGTGTGGCCGGTTCCATCGAGATTCCCGAGCATAGATTTCAGGGAGGAAAATTTTGAAGGCACTTTGATGCAAATTCTGAGTGGAACATGACACAAGAGCCGTGCTCTCTTCTTCTGATTCTTGTTTCGCGCGCCGTGTGGGTGTCAAAGCTTGTCTTGGGACTTGGCTAAAGGCACGACGTCAAGAACAGCAAAACATGCGGTTGGGGGGAGCTTCAGGCGATGCTGTCCCTGTTCCTTGAACAACTTCTCCGAACTTCTTTGCTAACTTTCCGAACTTCCTGATCTACCTGGCATTCCTGCCGTGGAGTTCCTCGGACGTGTGGTCCCTTTGAAGGTTCTAGGGACGTGTTGTGTCTGACCGGTCCTGCATAGACTTCTTCAGTGCATAGCAGCATGTCGAGGAGCACATTTGCTCTGACTCTCTCAACCCTCAAGCCGCAGATGTTGCAGGAGAACCTGCCTCCGCCTCCTCAAGCTTTGGTGTCCCTAAACGCCGCAGACTCAGACTTAGATGTTGCAGAATCGCTCTCAGCTGCTTCTTTTTTCAGGGTTGAAGGTTCAGTACTAGTACCGTCCTCCTAAGAAAGGAATGAAGATCTGTCGCAGCAATGACATCTGAAACAACCGTCCAGACAGTATGACACTTTGCCGCCTCGAACACTGCCATCCTGTGGCCACTGATTCTTTGGCAGCAGTGATTTCAATCTGTTGCTAAACTGTCCCAGCCTCGACCCAGTACAGATTCAGGTTTAAACACCTATCAGTCCAGCTGCCGAGCACCTTCGATCTTTAACTTCTTGCTCTTGCTTAGGGTTTAGGGTTTAGGGTTTAAGGTTTAGGGTTTAGGGTTTAGGGTTTAGGTTCAAAAAAACTTCCACAGGTTGTTCAACTCGAATGGGTGACATCTGTCACATAGCTGTCAGACGATCTTCAGGCTTCATGTTCGATAGGTCAGTATTCACAGCGTAGGGTAGGCAGGCACCAAGCTCCTGGTTTGGCTCAGAAAGGTTTAGAGTAGGGCGCGGCTTGACGAAGGAAGGACGCAACAAAAAGACGCAGACTTCGGAATTCAAGAATGCTGCTTGCAGAGATGTTCGGCAAGTTATAAGTTGTTCAGCGCTGCACTATGCCTTCGGATGCTCTACAAGTAACAAGCCAGGGTGCCTGTGCGCGCGTGCATCGGTAGCCTGGACATCCTCTCGCAAGAAGCCCTGAAGTTGTCTGAAGCCCCTAAAAAGCAAAGGCCGTCCAACGCTTGGTCCTGGACGAGGGCGATCGCCTCATTGAGGAAGGCTTCGAGCAGGCAGCAGCCACAACACTTCAGCCTAAAACCAGCCTTGCAGCGAGCAGGAGCCAAACGACCTCAGCTTAAAAACAATCTCAGGGCCCAGAAAGGGGACCCACCATCTCGCCACGGTCACAGCCTGCAAAAACACCGTTCTACAACTTCAATCGGCATTTTCCAAGGCCGTGTCTGGGCCGACACTGCACAGCTGCGGGTAAAGGGTTTAGGTCGGGTGCCGGACTTCGAGGTATTGCGGGCAGCTGTTGCGCCAACCTACTGCCGCGACAGTTCACGTGAATCCCCGCGACGTCGCCTTTTTCGGCTCGGTTCAGCGCTGTCGTGCGAAGCCTTGGGTGTGCTAGTCTGAACTTTTCCTGCGAAGCAGCCGGGAGCCCAGAAGAATCGGTGCTTGCACGGGTAACAACCTTGCCTTATTTTTTCATATAAGGCCAAATAAGTCTTCAGATCTATTCGGCATCGTGCCCAGGGGTTGGTGGAACAATCAATTAGTTTCAGCTTTGTGACAGAGCCCTCATATCATTGAAGAGCCTTCGCTCTCACGTCCGAAATTCTGGGGGCAAATCCTCACCTAATTGGCCCATCCAGGTTTGCCGTCATGCCCAAAAACAAGCTTGGTGGCAACAAAGCGAAGCGTGCCAAGGCTGGACATGCCAGGGGTTTGGGGTTTAGGGTTTAGGGTTCAGGGTTTAATTTAGGGTTTAGGGTCCTCTTTCCTGGCTACCTGCCTTCATGACAACAGCCATGATTATGGCAGGGCTCTCGATAAAGTCATGCATGGGATGTGATAGGTAGCGATAGGTATACATCAGCTCACTCCCAGGACCCTTTGTCATCCATCACCAGAACTTCAGAAACACAGAAGGAAAGCTTCAGAGAGGTTTGAGGTGTCATGATTTGGACTTCGCCAGGCCCACGCGCCTTTTTCTATCCCAGACCTACGACACTTTGATTCAAAAAACTACTGCGCACCTCCAAGAAACTGAGCTTTCGATCCGATTCTATGGATCTAAACATGAATCCGCTGAGAGTCATCTCCGCAGGCAGCAATGCTCCAGGGCTTCGCAGTTCATAGCACAACAGGAAGCCCCCAAGAAACTATCGGAGACCACTCAAGTACTTCTGCCATAAAGGAAGGTTCAACTGCTCGAAAAGACGGTAAGCATTTCGCATACATACACACATCAATGTATGTATGTACATATTATGAGTCATTTGTTTGCTTATGCTTTTTGTGCGCGGGTACGTTGTTGTGCTTGTTGTGTTTGTTGTGCTTGTTGTGTTGCTGTTTGTTTGTTTTGTTTGTTTGTGTTGTTTGCTTGTTGTTTGTCGCCTGTTTGTGTGTTGTTTTGTTTGTTTGTTTGATTGTTTGTTGTTTGTTTGTTGTTGTTGTTTGTTAGTTGTTGGTTTGGTGTTTGTTTGGTGTTTGTTTGGTGTTTGTTTGGTGTTTGTTTGTTGTTTGTTTCGTGTCGGTTGTCGGCTTGTCGCTTTTCGGCTCGTCGCTGGTCGCTCGTCGCTCGTCGCTTGCCGCTGCTGCCGCCGCTGCTGCCGCCGCTGCTGCTGCCCCTGCTGCTTCTGGTGGTGCTGTTTCTGGTGCTGGTGCTGGTGCTATTGCTGCTGCTGTTGCTGGTACTGGTTGGCTGTCGGTTGTTGGTTGTTTGGTGTTGTCGTTCGTAACCACGCTCTCGCCTGATTCCTAGACTCCTCTTTTTGGATGTCGTGCAGCCGGCGGGGCTTCTGGCTCGAAGCCTGCGCGGTCTTCCGCGGTCACAGTGCCGATGAGCCTTCGTTGCTCCAACTTTTTTTTCGGCCTAGGAGGCGCAATACGGTGCACTTATTTTGGCTACACGTCTGACCTACGTTGTGGACAGACTTCTCCTCAGAAAAAGGGTCCGTGTCTTTTTTTCTGGCATGACAGCGGAGGTGGCTAGCAAAACTCCCTGGATGGACCCCAACTGGCTTGTGCAGGATTGCATCAAAAGGATGTCGTGAAAGCTTGATGTGTCCGTCTTGTGCAGGATTAGCACGTGCTGCCAGACGGAGAATCAAACCACCCTTTCAGGCCCTTCAAGCAGATTCTGGCTCAAGCAACCGCAGAATTCAACATCCTGTCAATGCAAGGGTCCTCCAAGAAATGTCCCTCTTGCTTCTCCACGCGCTCTTGCGTTGATGTCTCGGGGGAAATCTTATAAAGCAGGCGAGCACGGAGGGCAACAAGAAGGAGCTCGAGTTCAAGGAAGACGGGCAGGCAAGGCAATGAAGTTCTTGTTGCTACTCGTTGCTGGAGTTGGGCAAGAAACGGCGTCCAGTTCAGTAATGCTTGGGGGGGAGGGATTCGGCTTCTGTTCTCGGATTGATGTGCAGGATTGCGATGAAGGGGTACCGTGCAATCCAGAGTCCACCCAACATGGCGTGGATCGTGGGCGGCATAGCTTCTGACACCCTACACCGCCACAGAACTTGGAAGTTACAGCCTAAACCAAAAAATCATTCAATGGGGACTCGGACCTCAAGCATGGAATCAGGAGACCGCTCGAATGAGCATCTCATAGTAGGTGGATCACCATGCAGCTTGAACTTTAGCCCGTGCCATATCAGGAGTACGGCCAGATTACCCGCATGTTGGGCAACGGCCGCTGCGACGTGCAGTGCGTGGACGGAGTGAAGCGGCCGCTTGCCTGAGATTTTGGCAGGGCCTCGATGGTTTCTTGTCCTGGGCCAACTGTCAGTTCAGGCCAACTTGACAAACAAAAACTCGCAGACACCAAAGGCAGTTGGGCAGCGCAAGCCTCAGCGGCTGACAGCTAAGGCTTTGCCACATCCGCGGTTGCTCGGCCTGTAATCTCTATGTCTCGCAACTTTCAATTCCCAAATTGGCTATAGCATCAGTTAACCCCCCCTAAACCCTAAACCCTAAACCCTAAACCCTAAACCCTAAACCCTAAACCCCACCTCGAGGTCAGCTAAGCGGGTGGCAAAAAAAAACTCCACCTCGAGATTCTTTGGCAATACGTAAGCCACACAATGGTTGAACCAAGCGCAACATAGCACAGCCCCAAGGCAGAGGCCTATTGACCCTTGAAGAGCTTTAACATCGCCCAGGTTTAGGGTTTAGGGTTTAGCGTGTAGGGTTTAGGGTTTAGGAGGTTTTTGTGGCTCCACCACGCACCAGTGAGGTAAGATGAGAAAAAAGGTTTGGTGCAACCAGGGCGACATTGTGCTGGTATCTCTTCGCGACTTCCAGGCTGGTGTACAGGTTTCGGGTTTTGGGTTTAGGGTTTCGGGTTTCCTTCGGCTTGAGTTGAGCGGATTCAAGTCTCCTGGCTTAAAAGTCTGCGAATTAGAAGAAGCTTCGGATAGCACAACCCCCAAACTCTAAACCTTAAACCCTAAACCCTAAACCCTGTAGGTGGCTCGCCCCTACAGTCATAGGCACTGTGGCGTGGGAACGAGCTGGGCAGTAAGGGCAGCAGGCGAGTCTCTTCTGACAAGGTGGCAGTCTCCTCACACCTTGAAACTGCAAAGCAGCCAACCTGTACTACGGTAGCATCTCAATTGTCTCAACTGCACGATGCAGGATGAGAAAGGCGACATCATCACCAAGTACACCGCCGAGGAAGCACGCAGCTTAAAGGCCCACAGACGTGACCTGCACGTACCTCTACTAGGGGTTCTTGCTTTGAACATCCCTCTTAAGCTCTGGCCCCACTACACCTGGTAATCCACTGCACCTGGCAATCCCACTCGTTAAGAAATTTGTACTCGGCAAGTTCTTGATGGATGGTCATCACAAGGCCGAGATTAGCGAACTCAGGAGCCATCAATGGCTTTGACATGTTTGACCGACCCCTTCCTTTGCACAGCAGCTAAGCTAGCTCGGTGCTTGAAGTTTGGTTGGTGGAGTCTCGGATACAGGGTATAGGATATAGGAGATAGGACGTAGGCTAACGGACGTAGATCTTACATGGTCGGCCGACATTCTGGCTGATTTCGTTGCGTTCGCGCGCGCGCGCGCGCGCGTGCGTGTTCTGGACATGTTGTGCGTGGTGGGGTCACGGTGCAACGTTCAGAAACCTCCCCCCACAGCCCACAGCATTGACCATCCGGCTCGGAAAGGCATATGGCGAGCTTCCCGAGAACGCTGCTTGGACGATAACTCATTGCGAGGATTGTAGTTCTTTGTGTACACTACCCGTTTTGCTACTTAGTGAAAATACATGTTCTGAAAAATGCTTTGCCTCGCTTCATGGTTTTGAATATGTCCATGAAGCATGTCATCTGCACACACGACACACAAATGTGGTGTGACCCCTCAGCCGGGGGGGGGGGGGGGGGGGGGGGGGGGGGGGGGGGCGGAATTTAGGGGGAGTCGAGCCCCGCATAGGGCCAGAGCGACCAGGTACAACCAGCAGCTTGGGATTTGTGAACAGCGTGGCTACGCTGAGGAGATGCAACCAGACTCCCCAGGTTCTTCTCAGATGTTTGTGGGAGAGGAGCCCACGCCATGACCCAGTCCTTGCCTATCAAGCAGAAAAGTTGGGACGTTCCCCCTTATACTAACAGGGTAGGGGGTACTCTAAATCCCTACTATATAAGGATTATGATAGGGGGTACAATATAATCCCTATTCAGGATTGTTAGTATCAGGGGGAACACCCCAACAGAAAAGGCTTGGTGCGGCACAACCTGGGCGTTCGAAGAACATGTTGCAGGCGCATGAAACGACGCGCGCCTCGATCCCGAGTATGTTCTACGTTGCTGAAGTCAGAGCGCACACTTGGCAAAGTCTTGGCAACCAAGTGACGTTTCAGATTGTGCTGAAAGCCACATCAGTCTCAAAAAGCGAACGGCGGGTGTTCTGGTTAATGGGGAGCACGGATGGGTAGGGGGGGGGCAGTTGATTTTAAGGCACCTGGAGACAGCACCCAGAAACAACCAAGCGGACCCCTCACCCCTGCGAATAATATGGGCGAAAGGCCTTCCCCCAATAGCACCATAGTCTTGATGTGCTCGGAAATTCACTTCGGCCGCTTGGGTGGGTGGGGGGGGGGGTGCTTTGGGGATGGTGCGCGACGAATGACGTCGTAAGCAAAACTTGGCGTGTGTGCACCAGTGCTTGTGTATGTGTGGGCGGTGTTAGCTTGATAGTGTCAGAGATAGTTCTGGCGTTTGTGATAGTGATAGAGCGTGTTAGTTTGTTTGATCGTTTTGTTTGATTGATTGTTTGTTTGCTTGCGGTGTATTGTTGTTCGGGAATGAGCTGCGAGTTTTGAGGTGAAGATCAACGAGACAGACATCGGCGATGGCGATGATAGCGAGGACGGCGTGGAGTTCGACGAGGCGTCCTTGGCACAGTTGTCAGAGGGTTTGGGATGTGTTGTGCTTCAGGATGTGCGGGGTATTGGTTAAGTCCAGAAGTAGATCTGCAAAACCTGCTTCAAGAGGGTGTGTTCATGTTCGCATACATTGAGATGTTGGGGTCAGCAGTCGCTTTCCGAGAGTCTGCCCCTAGTTTTGCCTGCTGCAGATGTGTCCACAATCTCTGGCACGAAACGGTTAGACTTCCCGACAGGGGAGACATGTTCTGCTAAGCGAGATGGCAAGTCTTGACGTGGTAGATAAGGCTCGTTGTTTCGGGGCTCCCCGGGGGCCCCGCTGGAGCCAGTAAAGAATTGCTTGTCTGCCAGGCGGCCGGTGTTGACGTGGACAACATCTAGGCCGACCACGTGACCGCCAGCCAAGCTGCCTACTGACTGGCCCAACCATGGGTCATTACCACAGGGTGGGCTATTATATATACCCTATAACCCCTTAAAGAGGCCCTTTATAGGGTTGATTATGGGGATTATAAGGCCGAATAGCCCATCCTGGGTGGTGCTGTCGATGTATTGTAGGCACATCAATTCGTCTGAAAAGCTGCAGCCAACCGTCAACGTAGCCTGCTGCCCGCGCTTGCGAAAGTTTCAAGCATTCCTTCCATACGTCAAGACACATTCCATAAGTTTCCACCAGAACTTAGAAGCTCAGCGTGGGTTGGCATGGATTCTGGTTTGCGGCTTCTACAAGCCTGCTCGGTGGGGACAGACACAGCAGCTGGAAGCCGTACACGTCGCGCAATTCGTCTGGCAATCTAATCAGATTGTTTCTTGATGATGGTGTCAAAACTAGATGGCGATGTGGGGTGAAAAGTTGGGCTACAGTACCTAAACTGAACGCTTGCCTTGGCTGTAACAATGTTCTGATGCCGTCAACTTGTGCGCGGAAAGCCTCTCTTGCACAGGCACAGACAGATGGAGGTGTCCTGAACATAGCTCCCCACTGTCTGTCATAGAGATGCGGACCGCCGTGCGACCAAAAAAAAAAAAGCTCGAAGAGTTGTTGAAGGTTTGGCTGCGCATTCATCACACAACCTTCAGGTTTCGTAAGGTTTAGGGTTTAGGGTTTAGGGTTTAGGGTTTAGGGTTTGCAAGGGTTTCGGCTCGTAGTTTCCTGGACCACGGCTGGAACTTGGCCGTGCACGCCTTTTTTGATTCTTGCACCGATGGGCCGGGCTTGAAGAGGCTGTAGCATCTCTGTGGTTGCCCAAAATGTCACGAGTACAATAGAATCTTAATAGTATAATAACATAATGGTATAATTGTAAAAATAGTAAATATTACTATAATGGTAAACTAGCAACCAGTACAATCGTATAATCGGAGAATTGTATAATAGTGTAGTGGCATAATAGTAAAGTAGTATAATATTACAATCGGATGCTGCAGCGCTACCAGACAAACCGGCGAAGACGAAGCGGTGAATGAAATCGAAGCCAAAGACGGCTACGTGGGATTGCCCCAAGCAGAAGCTCCAGATGTTGCCACACTTCTCCAAACCGCTGAAAAGACGACAAGGAAGACAGGCGTCTCAACAAACGGGCACCGGAGTGTGAACCGGCAGACGGCAATTCATGTCAACACACACACGCCCCCGCACACGCACACGCACCCGCACGCGCACACGCACACGCACACGCACAGACACACACACACACACACACACACCTCAACTTGTGGTTCGCCTCTTAGCCTATAGGGCTAATGAGCTGTGCATACAGCCGACATCACCTCATGAAACATGACGCAGCTCCACTGAGGAGTTGAACGTTCATGTACAGTCCACTGCCCTTGAACAGGACATCAACGCGTTGACCAGTGGATGCTACAGGCACCTGCTTCTTGTAATTTGTGTGCACCCAGAAACAGTCATAACACTCAAACCTCAATTTACAACAAACAAAAGCTGCTGACTGAACCAACCCTACATTTATTTGATGGCATCCTGCTTTTTACGCTAATATCTTGAGAATGTGGCCATGAGATCCCAGCATCCCTACCGCTGGTGCTAGGCTTGCAACTTTTGGCCTTGCCAAGCGGCTTCCAGAAAAGCCCAACAAGTCCACTTTGCCAACGCTGTGATACAACGTGTTTTGCGTACTTCTCTGGGCTTCCAGAGGAGTTCTTGCAGTGTGCGCCGGGTGTGCACGGCATCACTCAGATACACACCAGGCGTCGCTGTGATAACCCGCGGAAGAAGAGCGGTGGTTTGGTTCAATCGGCAAGCTCAGCTGGCATCTGGGACGGCAGGTGACCCAGCGCAAGCAAAGCATGCTCACCCTGGACCCAGAAATGTTCGCACATCACGGAACAACGATTTGAATTCAGCCCTAGAATTCACGAGTCAAGAACGAGTTGGTGAGACTTGTGCAGCAGATGAGCTGCAAAAGAGATTTAAGGCGATGGAGTGGTGCGAAAGATAAGCTAGTTGTTTTTCACTGAGCATGTGGTTGAGTCAGATGTTGCGCGAATTCACAGCCTAACACAAGAACTCACAGTCCGGGCATGTTTCGTTTGACTCGGTGTCGTTTTCAAGGAGTACAAGTGCACAAAATGTATATACGCTGTATTCTGAACCAGCAACCCCAGGCATTGAATGCGTTGAACCATCATTGTTCATCGTGCCATTTACGAGGCACGGATGCTAGCTTTTACTTGTACTTTCAGATTTAAGAACGCTCATTGGGATGGGACATGTGCACCGCTCTTCTACTCCCACATTCAAGAGCTGAGTATAACATGTTGTTGCTGCAGCCATGGATCACTTCGGGGACCTCCGAAGGTTTGCACTTGTATCCTTTGGGTGTCCTGCCTCGGGCAGGCGTCGACTAACACTGCTGTTCTCGGCCACGTGGACGCCCCAAACGGACAGCTTTGAGTGGGGGGGATGACTTTGAGGGTAGTGTGTTTTGGGTCTTGCAGTTTACACTACACTCTACATCAAGTTTGTGGAGGTTAGCACTCAAGGACGTATGGGCAGCAGAAAGCGTGCTCTTTTCCGAGCTGGCCGGTAGCAAGCTCTAACTATAACAACCGGGGACGCCTTCATTGAAAAAGCCACCCCACCATGATCTCGAGATCCCCAAGACAGGCATCAACCGCTTCCGGCAATGCAGGAGCTGCTGTCCATCATCCTGCGCACTGGAGCTCTCAAGGTGTGCCAAGGGTTTAGGGTTTAGGGTTTGGGGTAGTGCGACGATTCGGGGAGGCTGCAAGAACTCGAAAGTGCTCGCAGCTCTCCGTGCCACCCAAGGGCAGATTCATGTATCCAAACAGCAAAGGGTGCGCCGGTGCAGGCTCACTGGATCATGGCTTTTTCTACGAGAATCTACATAGACCGACCCTTGTTGCGCATCCTTGCAATGTGCTTCTTCCAGCTGTTATGCAACATGGGTTTTGTTTTTTTTCAGTGTTTTGCGATGCAGGTGTCCGTGGCTGGCATCCCCACACTCATCACTCAGGAGGTCGAGCTCGTGCCAAAGGCCTGGGGACTGTTTTTTCAGACTCGAGGTTGGAGATGTACAAGTGGCTTCAAGTGGCTTGGCTGCCTGAGGTGGCTGCGAAAGAGGGGCCTGCAAGTCTTTGCAGGTGACCGAAAGTGCTGCGGCATAGAAGATGTATCCAGTACAGAATCAATTTACGAGACCGTCGTATGGCCCAGAGTCTGTCCACTCGTGCCGGATGTCTTGGCCCCCATGTGTATGTGTCGAAGACGTCGCTGCAGTCATCGGCCTGCATCATGGTTTGTGGGTATGTTTACTTTTGGCATGGTTTGGCGCTTCACCTCAGTGAGCCTGGCTTGGAGAACCGCTCCTGCCGCTTCTTCGCTTTACATATCATGCAGAAATCCAGATACTGTAGATTGCAGGAGCAGGAGCATGAAGCGAAATGTCATGTGTATCCACCAGCGACTATGATGCCAACTCCTTTGCTTTTCCTGCATACCAGACTCGAAACAGCGGAAATTGACGGCTTCCCCCCTACAGCAGTCTGAGTGAAGCAGTCGGCTTTTTTAAAGGTCATTCATGACATCCGTCATGCTAAGATCCCATGACTGATGTTTGTGCCGTGTCCTCATGCTTTAGCATCACGCGCGTGAAGGCGCTGGCGAATGTTGTGCAGTCTTCCGGCAGAGTACATTCCAGGATTTTGCTCAAGAACGTGACATCTGCGAGTGTACCTGAGCTCAAATTCCAGGCTTATCAGAACATGGAACGCAGCAATGCCGGATCGTGGAGGAGGATGGATGTCGTTCTTAGTCCGTTTCGACTCTCGACATGCAACAGCGCCTGCGTGTCATGGATCCCAACTTGGCTTCGAGCATTTTTCCCACATTTTTTCCCAAGTCGCAAGCTTTACGGCGGCAGCACCAGTAACTTCACCTCATTGGCTCGCCAAGTCATCCATTGCAAAAGATGGCCTTGGAAATTTTCTTACCAGGCAAACCCAGAAGCTGCTGAAACCGCTGATGCCACATGGTCGAACTTCCCAGGATGGGCTATTATACATCCCATAACCCCTTAAACCGGCCCTTTCTAGGATTATAAGGATTCTCATGCCCAGCAGCCCATCCTGGTGCTTCGACTCACCGCGCTTTGCGGGCAGGCAGCACGCGCGAGGCGGCTCCGGGACTTGCTCCGCGAGTTTGGTACGGCAGCGAAGGTCCCCCAGGGTTGCATATGGGGGTATTACGAGACACAATATATAAAAGCCCCCAAACTAGGATTCCCTTATAATAAGGACCTCAAGAAGGTACCCCCTAATTTCGGAAACGCCCAAATATGATGTTGCTTGAATATTTTTTGCACGTGCCATACTAGAGAGAAGCTCCACAGCCCATCCTGCAAAAAGGGAGCCGCAGACTCCCAAAGCCTAAACCCTAAACCCTAAACCCGATGCCGACACGGCTGGATGGTCCCAGTCCTTTGCAAGCCGAGAGCGGAGGTTTTGGTCTTCGTCCTTTTCAAGCGCGAGGCACGGAATGAAGTACCAAAATGGGGGGGGGGGGGGGGGGGGGCGCGCCTTCTTGGGCCGCTCTCTCGGGTGTAGGGTTTAGGGTTTAGGGGTTGTAGGGCTTTTATAGGGTTTGCAGAGTTTATAGGGTTTATAGGGTGTGTAGGGTTTATAGGGTTTACAGGGTTTATATAGGGTTTATATAGGGTTTATAGGGTTTAGGGAGCGCAGTCCTGGATATAAAAAAAGGGTCTCTAGGGACCGCAACACAAGTTTTGGGAGTCAGGGGTCGGGTCAAACAGGGTTGTTGTCGTTGTCGCTGTCGTTGTCGTCATCGTTGTCTTTCGCCCGGCTCCCCACATGAAACTTCCAAGGTACCCCGAAGAAGTTTCCGATTGATGCTGAGCTAGACTTGCAAAGAATGGTGAGTTTTACCCGCCGAACACGAGTGGCATGGACAATGCTACCTGCTAAGTGACGCTAGTGGCGGGAATGTCGGTAGATTGAAAGTCCAGCCCTGTCTCCAAGCCAAGCCCCAAACACTCCAACAACTGAAAATAGGGGTGCCCTTTTTGGGGGGTCCCTTTAAGCGGATTCTATTCTATTTGGGGTCTCAAAGCAATACCCCCTATTTTGGGAAGTGCCCAGATTGTTGATCCACAAATCCGGTAACCCTAAACCCGAAACCCTAAACCCTAAACCTCGGTGCCCCAGCAGGCAAAGGCCCTGGCCAAGATGCTGCAGTCAGAGGGGATTGAAGCCTGGGCGCTGGAAGGCAACATGTCCCAGGCCCTCCCATTGAGGGGTTCAGTGTTTTCGGGTTGCATCGGCAGCAGGGAGGGTCATGAGCCAAGGCCAAGGCACTAAAAAGCCCCAAAGGTCTTGTAAAGAACCTTTGTTGCTGCAACTAGATCTGGGGACGACCGGGTTCGGAATAAGCTGAGAAAGGGTCACAAAGAAGAACAGGCCTAAGCCGCAGGTCCGCGAGCATGTAGTGCTCCCAGTGCCTTAGGCTTCGGCATGCGTGGATCCGAGATGTAGGGTTAGGAATGGAGTTGTGGGTGGCAAGAAGGGATGAAGCACGTAAATCAAACTCCCAGAACATGCTTCCAAGCTGTCCCATTGCCGCAGGCGGCGCGGACCTATACGATGCAGGTGCAAAACATGTCGAAACATGAACCAACAGTTTCCAGGTATTTGGTTTAAGGCCTATAGGGCTTACGGCTGTTGTTGAACAGGATTTCGATCAGCAAAGAGGACTTTGCAGAAGCGGGTTCTCGAGTGTTTTATTGAAACGACACGACTTGGGCCTCATGCACTTTGCGTTTCGCAAGTGCCAGTTCCTACTGTCTGACAAGATAGTAAGAGCACTTGTTTCTTCGGTCTGCCGAACACTATGCCTCAGCAATTGGTAATGTTCCGAACCCGTGCGGTCACCGAAAACCATATGATGCTTTGAGCAATAGGTACAAACAGCCCTGTGTGAGTTTCTGAAGGTGTGGGGCAGTCGTCAAACTTTCAGCTTTGTGGCCCGGGGTACAGAAGCAGCTGGCACAGCCGAAGTCGCCAAGTATATGCCGGAAGATGAACCCTCCACACGAAGCTGGAAAACCGCCCTAGCGCAAGGCTTTCCGGGATGCCAAACCCGGCTGTAGCCTTGGCGATGGGGTGTAGGGAAGGAGGGCTAAGTGGCCAGAGTTCCTAGCGTGTAGAGGGTAAGGCGTGCAAGGAGCGAGGCTTCAGAGTTGCGAGTTTGCTTGGGGGGCTTACAAGGTATACAATAGATTAGCTTAGAAATTTCATTGCTAAGGGCTCAGTGGAGCGGCACATTCCGAAGCTACCACACACATAGTGCGGTGAAGCGTTGACGCATTTGGCGACCGACATGTGATTGACTTTCTTGCACCCCTACTTTCTCAAACGCAAGCGGGGCTCGTCTGTGATCTGACAACCCCTAAACCCTAAACCCTAAACCCTAAACCCTAAACCCTAAACCCTAAACCCGGAATGGCAGGACTCAAGGTTGAGTGGCTGCGACGTGCCAGCACAGGTTTTGCTTTGTCCGGCGTTGCTGTTTGCATCCCTTTGGGCTCTCAAGCTGTAGATCTTAGGAGTAGGTTATTGCACACGAATATCCTTCGGAAAAGTTAGAGAGGTTCTCAATGTCCCTGTGCATGCTGGCGCACTTGGCAAGCTCTGCTTCAAGGGACTATACTCTACACCCTAAACCCTAAACCCTACATAGCTCTCACCTGGCAGCCTCGGGCTTCTTGCCAGCCGCTTCATCTTGTGCCATGGACTGCTGATGGCAGCTGAGGCGGACCATGTTAAGAACTGGAGAGAAATCCTCACGTGTCGCGAAGCACCGTAAACCCTAAACCCTAAACCCTGAACCCTGAACCCTAAACCCTAAACCAACCTGAAAGCTATCTCAGGAGGATGAGGATCTGGATGGATGGGGGAACTTCGAGGCCCACATCGGGGCTGCCATGGGCTGCCCACAGTCCCACGGTGTTCTCTTAAACTTCTCCTGGCTGCATAAGGCTTCCCAAGCCTCCCTCAAGTCTCATACGAGAACCCAAGGCAGAGAGCCCTCTAAAAGACCCAAAAAATCGAGCCGCAGACTTCTTCCTGTCACAAGGAGATTGATTTTGCAGCTGCTGGCGTCGAGCCGGCAGAAGCCGAGCCGCGCCAGGCCACAAAGCACGTCGTGCCCTTGCAGTTGCCTTGCCTGCCATGTGCAAAACTGGGTGCATCGGTTTTGGGTGGGAAATGGCCTTTTTAAGATTCATAGAGAGGGCTCCGCTCGACACAGCTTCGGCATAGATCTGCTGTCGTTTTCTATTGCACAGAGCGACATCGTAAAACTTTCAGCAGCACAAGCATGCGCAAGCACAAATTGTCCAAAACCATGTCGCAGTAGCTGACGGATTGTCTTCTGGTTGTTGACCGAGTTAGCATTGGCCAGCTCTACAGGAGCATATATGCAAGTGTGGTGGGAACAATGTTCGGGTTTCCGTTGCTTGAACGGCGTCATGCAAGCGTGCACTGGTGGAAACACAAATCCCAAGAACATTGCAGTTTCATGCCAGCAGAAAACGGCGCGTGCCTCGTGAAGGGCAAGGAAACCACCAGTATAAACATGTAATTAAGCTTGAAGGGTTTGAAGACCGGGGGCGTCGGGGGTTGTCGATGTTGTCATGCAAAGATTTGGAATGCCTGGGTTTAGGACAGCAAAACGTAGACAGACCGTTATGTTGGCTTTTAGCACTTCAGGTTCGGTGGCAAAGAATAGAGCTGTGGCTTTCGGGCTCGTGGTTAGGAGCCTTGCAGGTTCGAGAAGTTTAGGGGAGGTGTGATAGCAAAGAACCAAGCAGGAAACTATTGCTATGATCTTGAGCTATGAAAATTGTCTCGTCGACCCAGGTATCGAGTTGGAGAGGAACACTAGCAAGGACTGTAGCCTCAGTATCTTCGTTGGAGACACGTTAAGACTCTCGAAGTGGCCAAGCCCTAGAAAGCTTCGAAACGCTGGTGTTTGTCAAGACGAGCCTTCGTTTAGGGCTGCAATGTGCGATTATAGCGTTCGATAGTTTTCGTTAGATTGCACAATCGATGCCCGCTCATCTGGTTTGCACAAACAAGCTGTACAAGGACTCACGGGACAGAATCTGGCCTACGAAGCAAGCGACCGGCCAAAGTCAGGGAAGCCATGAATCCTCCGAGCACAGTTTTCCGACCCTCAACGCTAACCAAACGCCCTGGACCGAGAGCTTCCGGAGCTTACCTCCAGCATTATGCCATCATGGAATGCAGTAGCCCGTAAAGGCGCCCGCGCCCTTAGCAGGTCGAAGATTCTGGGGCGAAGCAAGTCGAGGACGCCACGGGGCAAATCAAGGCCGTTCGGTTGGTTTGGCAGTTTTGGCTGGCTGAGGTGCTGTGGCTCAGTAGCTTGTATGGGAAGGAATGAGCCAGATCGGGTAGATGGGATGCGATGTCCACACCCCACATGGATTCAGGGCTGACATGTCACATCATGTCACCAGGTTTCCACAATAAACAGATGGACGGAGGTTAAAATACTTGCTTTCGGATTGCTGCGGCTGTGCGCAGCCGTAGTTAGCCGCTGTCCGGTGGTCCTTCAGAGCAAGTTTCAGGGTGTGGGGTTGTGACCTTGAGCGCTCGTGAAAGGAGAGAACTGAGCTAGCCAACGAACCTGCGAACCTGCGGCAGGCGCGATGTGAAGAGGAGTGCTTCGGTACATAGGGGCACCTGGAAGTGAAAGGACTGCCTAGAAACTGTGTCTTGCTTGGATTAGTGTGACGCAGACTTGAAGCAGCACAATTACGAATGTTGCAGATTTCCGCAGCTGCGACGTCAAACCACACACAAGTCAGCCCTTGATAACTGTAAGTAGTTATTTTTTCAAGTCTGCAAATACCTAAACTAAACTAAACTTTAGCTCACCTGAGTGCCAGGCAGCCCTGAGCTGGCGCAGTTCTTTGCTTGACTTTGGCCGAGAGTTCATTGCAGAGGCGGGGCTTAGGTTTAGGGTTTAGGGTTTAGGGTTTAGGGTTTAGGGTTTAGGGTTTAGGGTTTAACACAGCAGTGCAAGCTTTCTGAGTTCTGGCTTCGGGACGTAAACCCCAATGTTGACCCCATATTCACAACCCCCCCGCTCGAGAACTTGGCCTCAGGTGCCTTGGCCCCCCTGAGTAGAAACATCCTTCCGGTGACTGTAGCCCGAATAGGGATTCCACGAAGCTTCTGGGCTTCAGGTCTCTTGCAAGCTGGACTTTTTGGGACATTGCATGTATCGAAGAAGCTTTAGGCTTCTAGGATGGAAAAGGCAGACATGGTGCGGGTTGGCGTTTTGTAAAATAGGGCTCGGGGCTGAAAGTTGCGAGCTCTTCTTCGAGCTATTTCATGGGTTTAGTCTTCTGAGTGTTTACGACCTACTGCTGGGCAGGTCTATGGAACAGCGCTTGTGTTTCGGGGCTCCAGGAATCAAAGTGCGTGCTCTCAATTGTCCTAGTAATTGCTGCGCTTTCTTGCATGTTTCTCCGGGAGTGCAGAACAAACCATCTGCTGGACAAAGTGCAAGGATCCGATGTATAGTCTAAGCATGGGGAGGCCGTGGGTCATGGTTCGACGTTGTCTTATAATGATGCACCAGGCGACGCACGTCTTCGGTGAGGAGGTGGCGTTTGTGGCTGCATTTGCTCGGGTTCTATTTTGGAGTGTCGGGAGGTTTGTCTGTTGGGTCCGGAATTCGGGCACTTGGAGAGAGAGTGAGTGAGAAAGAGAGAGAGAGAGAGAGAGAGAGAGAGAGAGAGAGACGGGGGAGAGCAGAAATTCACAATGATCATGAAGTAGGGGGGCGTAGGGGCACACAGGTGTTGGGAGAACTGCCCGGACTGCTTCACATGTGTAACAGCGGGGAAAAGGGGCAAACATCTGAGCTTGACCCCCAAACTGGGGTGGACAGACCAGACACATCGTGTGCAGTCTGTGCCGGCGGCTCGAGGGAACACTTTGGTCCTGACCGAATGATAAGAAGAAGAGAGGAGGGAAGAGACAAAAAGGGAAAGAAGCAGAATCAAAGAAAGATAGAACGAAAACACAAGAAAGAGAGATCAAACAAAAGATGAGAGAGTGGGGGGTTTAAATAAGGGTGTAGGCTTAGATCTGTGCAGGCAGGAAAACAAGCGGCCGAGGAAATGCGCCAGCAGGAAGCCGAGGCAAAAACAAACAACGAAGCCGAGAAGGCCTGCAAGGAGGCACAGGCGCAGAAGGAGGCCGAGGAAAGAGCCCGCAAAGAAGCGGAGGCGCAGGCGCAGAAAGAGGCCGAGGAGAAGGCCCGCATGGAGGCTGAGGAGGAGGCCCGCAGGGAAGCAGAGGCGCAGGCGCAGAAGGAGGCCGAGGAAAGAGCCCGCAAAGAAGCGGAGGCGCAGGCGCAGGAGGAGGCCGAGGAACTTGCTCGCCAAGAGGCGGAGGCGCAGGCGCAGAAAGAGGCCGAGGAGAAGGCCCGCGTGGAGGCTGAGGAGGAGGCCCGCAAGGAAGCAGAGGCGCAGGCGCAGAAGGAGGCCGAGGAAAGAGCCCGCAAAGAAGCGGAGGCGCAGGCGCAGAAGGAGGCCGAGGAAATTGCCCGCAAAGAGGCGGAGGTGCAGGCTCAGAAGGAGGCCGAGGAGAAGGCCCGCATGGAGGCTGAGGAGGAGGCCCGCAGGGAAGCAGAGGCGCAGGCGCAGAAGGAGGCCGAGGAAAGAGCCCGCAAAGAAGCGGAGGCGCAGGCGCAGGAGGAGGCTGAGGAAATTGCTCGCCAAGAGGCGGAGGCGCAGGCGCAGAAAGAGGCCGAGGAGAAGGCCCGCATGGAGGCTGAGGAGGCGGCCCGCAAGGAAGCAGAGGCGCAGGCACAGAAGGAGGCCGAGGAAAGAGCCCGCAAAGAAGCGGAGGCGCAGGCGCAGAAGGAGGCCGAGGAAATTGCCCGCAAAGAGGCGGAGGCACAGGCTCAGAAGGAGGCCGAGGAGAAGGCCCGCATGGAGGCTGAGGAGGAGGCCCGCAGGGAAGCAGAGGCGCAGGCGCAGAAGGAGGCCGAGGAAAGAGCCCGCAAGGAAGCGGAGGCGCAGGCGCAGAAGGAGGCCGAGGAAGTTGCCCGCAAAGAGGCGGAGGCGCAGGCTCAGAAGGAGGCCGAGGAGAAGGCCCGCATGGAGGCTGAGGAGGAGGCTGGCAGGGAAGCGGAGGCGCAGGCGCAGAAGGAGGCCGAGGAAAGAGCCCGCAAAGAAGCGGAGGCGCAGGCGCAGAAGGAGGCCGAGGAAATTGCCCGCAAAGAGGCGGAGGAGCAGGCTCAGAAGGAGGCCGAGGAGAAGGCCCGCATGGAGGCCGAGGAGGAGGCCCGCAGGGAAGCAGAGGCGCAGGCGCAGAAGGAGGCCGAGGAAATTGCCTGCAAAGAGGCGGAGGCGCAGGCTCAGAAGGAGGCCGAGGAGAAGGCCCGCATGGAGGCCGAGGAGGAGGCCCGCAGGGAAGCAGAGGCGCAGGCGCAGAAGGAGGCCGAGGAAAGAGCCCGCAAAGAAGCGGAGGCGCAGGCGCAGAAAGAGGCGGAGGCGCAGGCTCAGAAGGAGGCCGAGGAGAAGGCCCGCATGGAGGCCGAGGCGGAGGCCCGCAGGGAAGCAGAGGCGCAGGCGCAGAAGGAGGCCGAGGAAAGAGCCCGCAAAGAAGCGGAGGCGCAGGCGCAGAAGGAGGCCGAGGAAATTGCCCGGAAAGAGGCGGAGGAGAAGGCCCGCATGGAGGCTGACGAGGAGGAGGCCCGCAGGGAAGCAGATGCGCAGGCACAGAAGAAGGCCCAGGAGATGGAGAGACCACGGGAGGAGGACCTGTTCGTGGAACTCGAAACCCCTGCAGTAGAGCAAACTGACGTGGGCAGCCTTGATGCCTCGGTGAAGAATGACGACGAGGTGGCTTGTCTGCATGTCGTGATGCCAGTTGCGGCACCCGAAACCCCCAAACCCTAAACCCCCAAACCCTGAACCCTAAACCCTAAACCCTAGACCCCTGTTTTGTAAGATTTTATAAGCCGGACCATGACCAACATAGCCTAGCACAAGCAATGGAGTCAGTCGTGAGTCACCGGCCTCAAGCCTAGAGAGCCACTTTCGGCATTAGCAATCTTGCTGTCCACCCTTATTACCCTGTTAGCACTTGTCACCCCATGACTTTCTGAATGTAGGGTCACGACTCTTTAGAATTAAGGGGCGGGGAGGGGGGGGAGGCCAATATCAAGGGGGGAAGCTTCAAGGACCAGGCAGCTTGAGTTCGGTTCTGGACAGGGCTCAGGGTTGGGTTATCGGATGTAGCTCTCAGGGCAAGGCAGAGTTTCTGATGTTATGTTGCGCAGTGTGAGGTTTGTCATGTTCGTCGCCGGTTCCCCACGCAAGGCCATCGTAACCCTACAACCCGACCCCTCTCCTTAAACGCAGCATGTTTGTGTCAGCTGTGCTTATGTTGTGCCCTCTTGTGCCCCTGAACCCTAAACCCTAGACCCTAGACCCTAGACCCTAAACCCTAAACCCTACGAGCGTTTATAGCGCTTCGGGACCCTCATGGCGCGGGAGCCCAGGCATAGCAGTGAGCTCCCCTCCAGGGCCCAGAGCGGGACCCACTACCACTATTTGCTTAAGAACCCCCAAGAAAAGAGAATAATCCTCATATGAAATTACCCTAACAAGGGATCTATTTTCTGGGGGTTTTCTAATTAAGCAAATATGTAGACTGAATGATCGGGCACGGCTTTTTTTATGGTGCTGGAGTTCCAACAATGCTCGAAATATAGAAGGCGACCGGAACGGAGGAGCGAGAATGCCCTGGCCCAGATTGTGCCGCGGGAAGCAAGAAGGCTGCCGCTTGCCTTAGTTCAGCAGGGCCACCCCTTGTCCCAAGCTTCCCAAAACGATAGAGGCAGCTTCGAAGCAAGCGCTGCAATCCTAGCACCAGAACATGCAGAGGTCCCACCTCTGCTCGCCCATGGCTTTCTGCATTGAGTGGTCGCCGACCATAGAAGCGATGCGCGAGGTAGCGGAAATTCAGCCCGAAACCACATACTTGTACGACAGATACCTGGACTACGTAGTTAACCTCAGGGCGTGCATGTTCCCTGTCAGATTGAGGAAGTGCTGGCCATGCTGCAGAAATACCAGGGCTTGCTCAAGAACGTCTACAACCAGCATAATCCCGAGAAAGCCTTGGACATAGACAAGCTGATCCAGAAGCAGCTCGTCAGCACGTCAACCTGAAAACCCTCACGTGGGCGGTTATAGGATCGGACCCTGGACGTCCAAAGGACAAGGTAGCCACGGGAGTTAGGGAAAGACCACGAAAGCCCTGACCCCGCAATATAAGAAAGTTGACAGGGTAGGGAGGCAGCAAAGGAAATCATCAAAAAGGAAGCTTGGAAGCCTTATTTCCTGAGAAATATATATGCACTGCAGTCGTCGAGAGATAGAGAATATATGTATGTATATATATATATATACATATGCATTATACGGGGCTTGGTGAATATGTGTGCAGGCTTAGAGAGACGTCAGTCTTTGTGAGTTTCGATCTTGTTTGCCTGGATTCAGCGTGTACATGGTGCTCTAACACTGTGTCACGACCTCTCTGCACGCTTGCACAATTCGCTCAATCATGATTAATCGGACATTGATAACTGGGGTCCTCGCTACCTCACACTTTGCATGCCCCAGATTCAAAACATCCCCGGCGAACCCTTTGTGTAAAGCCAAGAACCCAAAATACAGTACCCCCAAACGCATTGGATTGTGGGATTTTACGAGTTTGTGGGGGGAGGTGGGGGAATGACTACAATTAATTCTGAACATGTTGTTTTTGCCCACTCCCTCCACAAAGTGAGTTGTTCACAGGGTTGCTCAGCAAAAATGGAAAAACCTCGGGCAATTTCCTGCGCAGGGTTCTGCTGGAGTCCCACTGCCTACCTGCAGGAGCCAACAGGGGGCGCGATCACCAAGGCACGAATTCCAAAGCAAAAAAACCGAATTTTGCTAACCTCCCCTCGAACCACAAAAGATGAGCCCTCATCTGGCCCAGACCTAGGGTTTCGAGCCCAGAATGGGGGTCTGGGCCAGAAGAGGCCTTTTTGTGGGGGATGGGGGGGTGGGGGGCTTTGGGGGGAAGGGGGAGGGGTGCGTGGGCCCATACATGTCTCCGGCACTCTCAAATTGCAAGTAAACAGCAACAAGCTCCAAAAAAAGGATGATTTTTCAGAATACAAGAAGAGAAGCAGCGATTTTGTACATGCTCGAGCGATTCACCGAAAAAGTGGGTATTCACGGTCGTTTCACGGGGTTCTCACGCGGTTCTCACGGGGTTCTCACGGGGTTCTCACGCGATTTTCACGCGCGTTTTGTTCCTGTTAACTCATCTTTCGCGGAATAACATCGCGGCTCCGTGTTTTTGCCAGCTTTTCCCTGCCAACCTCAATCTTTCCCAAGCCCGTTCTTCTCGCCCCCTTCCACTGAGCGCAGGCTGTGTCCTGACACTCAACCCCAAGCCAGCTGCACAGTCCGACCCCTGAAAAGCAGAGGTGGGTGTGTCGTGAAGTTCTTATTTGACCGTGACTTGTCTCAGCAACCTCGTCCGAACGACCTTTTCCTGACGTGTGCTTGTTGGAAAGTTTCTTCTCCTTTGCTTGCTCGATACATCTGATGTCACTGCTGAAGCGTGCAAAAATCTCAAGAGCGCTATCCAAGGTACGTTAACGTCTAGGAACGTTCTGATGTGTGTCTGTGTGGAGTATTTCTGGCATTGCCTTCTGCATGCCAGCACCTGTTTGTTTAGGGAACATGTGCAAAGACCTTGCTTTTCAGGACCGCGCTTCCTATGAGTCAGTTAAGTTGCGTTCAATTGTTCGTGTCGGGTTGGTGCACACATCTTTTCTAATGCCCAGCTATGAACGATCGCGATTTCCTTTGTTTGAAGTTGTTGCATCAAAAATCAAAGCACATGGCTCAAGTATGGAAAATATACGGGCGATTGCTTGTGAGCCCACAGGTCCAACTGTAAGCATCGGAGCAAACTACCGACATGTGCCTGGAGCCTACCAGGCCTGCAGAGCACCAACGTCACCACTATCGCAAGGACAGCAGCTACAGCTATTGTTTGTTCTGCTTTGCTTGGTGGGAATCAGACAGCACCTAGAACCGATGCAGAGATCGATCTGGCGTGAAGAAATCAGCGCCGAAGTCGGAAATATGACGTGAAACTCTGCAAAACCTCCGATGTTCATCTTCTAAAGGTATTGGAAATCCCAGAGTTCATAAAGGACTAGGTTACCACGTCCGATGGCAAAGGACAAGGTAGCCACGTCGGCGGACCGCCAGGGGGATCTTATCGCGGGTCTGCAGGGCCGTGTTGCGGGAGGGGGACGCAGCGGGGACCCGAACACCGCGAACCCCAAGAATCCTGACCTTGCATTGAAGCTCCTATCCCTGCCAATACCTGCCCATATCCGTGCGGGCGAAAAGGTATACCGAGCAGTTGGAGCAGCTCGAAGACCTTGAGGCCTTTGAAAGACACTGCGAGGTGAAGCTGGCGAGCCTCTATCAGGCCACTTTGTGAGTTCAGGAGTTTGGACAACAAACCTCGTCAACGCCACAGTATGAGAGTATGGTCCCGCACATTGGCAGTCTATGGCGAGTCTATGGCATGCGGCAGTCTCACGCCCTGACATACAGGCAGTCTGCAAGAAATATGGCATCGAGGCTGACCCACCCTTCTGTGCTCAATGTCTGGGAGTCCTGGGGATTGCAGTGCCACTACATGCCACCACCAGTATTGCACCCAGAAGTTTCGCATCCTGACCGCACATGTGAATGTGTCTTTCCTGGCAAGGCTGGTGAAGGGTCTGCCGTTGGGTTTCCGCCGTTTGGACATGTTCGGTTAGGCTTCGCGACACTTGGCAGGCTGCGCATACCTGCCTGCCTGGCTACTACGCGCACACACACACACACACACACCCAGGCATGCGTGCGCCCGCCCAGCCAGCCAGCCAGCCAGCCAGCCAGCCAGCCAGCCACCCACACCCACACACACACACACACACACACACACACACACACACACACACACACACACCACACACACCACACACACCACACACACCACACACACCACACACACCACACACACCACACACACACACCACACACACCACACACACACACCACACACACACACACACACACACACAGACGCGCGCACAGTCACACCCACACAGACAGCGGCAACAACAAGCAACAAGCAGCAACCAACAGACAACAGTCAGCAGACAACAAACACAAACATTCGCAACAGCAAGAAGCTTCGGGTTGAATAGGCGTGTGTCGAAAACATCGCTGCGCGCACTGTTTTCGAGGGCACTCGCGTGCGAACGGGAAAGCCTGGTGGCAGTCGTGATGGCATAGAAAAGCCCATCTGGCGAATGTCTGCGTGCAAAAAACTGAGATTTCCACGGTTTCTCCCTCGCTGCACTGTTGCACGCATTTGCTTACCTACGTCGACGCCCGCCAACGCACAAATGCATGCAAAGTCACCAGGGTCACAATGAAACCAGGCTGCGGATGAATCTCCAGGGGGTGAGCCCACACCCCATGCGCCGTCACCCACTTTGCATCTGAGCTGGCATTCGGGTTGACTTGAGATAGGCGGCAGCAGTTCAGAGCATTTCGGGACTTGTTACTCATCAGGGCTCAATCGTTTCTGGCTTCCGGGTTTCCTATTCTAAAGTGTTTTGGGTGCCTACAGGCATGTATTCACTTTGATTTGGTTTATTTGGGCCGGGCCTAGGCTTCAGGCGTAGGACTTGTGGGTTTAGCGCGGTCCAACCGTATAGGTTTCTTCAAGCGCCCCGATGTGCATACAAGAGTGTGGAATCTGAATGCCTTCGAGCGTCGCACAAAATCCCACAGAGCATTGTGCTCGAGCAAACGGGATCGTTCTGAAACCTCAAAAGCTTGTAGAAGGAGAGAAACAAAAAGCAACCTAAACCGTCTGAGACATCTTGTGACCTGCAGAGAGCCCCCAAATCTCTTGCTGATGTGATATTCTAGAAGGTGCTTGGCTGGAATGAAGTCATCAAAACTCTAAACCCTGGACTCATACAAGAGAATCCCAAAAGCACCTCCAAGCAGATATCCCTCTGGCCTCCCCCCCCCCCCATGCCATCACAAGCCTTAAGCAATCCCACAAGAGGGGGGGGGGGGGGGTCGGGTTAGGGCTTAGGGAGTGTAGGGTTTAGAAGTTTAGGATTTTCGGGTTTCGGGTTCTTCTGGTGCACCCGAAAGTCGTCTCCCTGGCTGCTTGTACCACGCCTGCCCATATTTCGCGAGCATGGTATTGGCCGTTCCGGCACACGGCGCCCTTTCGGTGGCACAGGTGAAAGCGCATAAGGATTATAGGACCTGCAGTCACGTGATGGTGATGTTTGGGCTCCTGGGTTTCAGGGTTCCTTTAGGGCTTCGAGCTGGCACAGCTGTGGTATGGGTTTGGTTCCCGCGTTTTGTGCTCCGGCTTGTCGAGGGTTTCGGGCTTGGCCTCACGGTTTCGGGTTTCGGGCAGGGGTTTGGACTCTCAACCAGTGAGTCCATTGAGTCCATTTTGTTGTATTATCAGTTTTCGGGTGCGAGTGCACATCTAGAGCGACCTTCATACGCAGTGCACGAAAAACCTCTTGCGTGTGCTGAAACAAAGGGTTATACAGAACATCTTTGGAAACGGACTGTGCCAAGGGGCGTGGGGGGGTGGGGGGTGAAACAGAGTCTCAAGAACAGAGGCGTGACGAATTGGTGGCCATCTACGAGCCTCGACTTGATCGAAGGGTTGATGTTCGAAGAAGAGTAAGCTCTCAACCATATAGAACCTCAATTCCCTGACCCCTTGGGTAAACCCTACTGCTTCTAAATTGGAAGCCCACAGCCTTTTCTTGTCGTTAGGCTCGGGTCTGTCTTGCCTCTGGGGCAACTTTCAGCGCCGAGACTTTGTAAGCGAAATAACGCACCGTAACTAGGTGAACCTGGTACATCCGACAGAGCCCAGACTCGGTTCCCATGCACTCCCAAATGCGATGGTTAGTTTTACGCGGGATTGAGCTTCAGAATGCAAAGATCGGATTGGAGATCTTGGCCGGAGACCAGTATGACATAATGTCGACCACAGATATTTAAACGGCCGAACAGCTGTGCTGCAAAATGTGCATGCATTGAATGTCGGAGGAGCGCAACAACCCATCAAAGCTGTCCTCGGTCGACGAGCTTTTGAGCAAGTTCCAGGGGCGCGAGGCCATTCTGTACAGAAGTGGGCGCCTCAGGCCACATCAGCATGGTGCTTAGGATACAAGTACCTAGTAGTAGAGTAGGTAACCTTTAACCTTGGTGGGGTAATATAATCCCCTTATAATCCCAAAGGTTAACCTTTAAGTTCCCCAGGTTACTGGACAACTAAGAGTAGGTATCGTTCCAGATGCAGGTGACACAGCAGGCAGAACAAACAACGGGCGACGTGCAGTTGTTGCGATCCGCTACTGTAGTTGACAGGTCGAATCTCGGTCGTGTACAGAATTCCCGAAGAGGCGACTTTTATTTACAATTTGTTTCAGTACTATTCCTTGCTGGTAAGAAAACGAGACATGGAGAAAGAAGAAGAAGAAGAGGAAGAAGAAGAATACATGGGGGTGCACGAAGGCTCGGGGGCTGTCTATTCCAAGACGCTTGCATGAAAGGAATACGGAGAGGGACAAAGGAGCGAACCCATTGAGAGACAGTGACAGATACAGACTCAGGGACAGGCACAAAGACAGGCACAAAGACAGACGCAGAGACAGATGCAGAGACAGAGGGACAGATAGACAGAGAGGCAAAGAGGCCGAGAGGCAGAGGCTGTATCACTCCCGGGAAATAAAATCCGGGACAACACCCAGACACCCGGCTACAGAGTCTCACTGTGCTCCTTCAACCCCAGCAGAAGAAGATGAAGAAGGGTTGGGGCGACCATGCAGATGACGAAGAACAAGGGTAAGGGTCCAAAAGGGGGGGGGGGGGGCATTTCCAGACTTCTCAAACACGTCTCCATGAAAAACAGGATGAAGCAGGGATCTTCAAACATAAAGCTGGACGGGACCACTTGGCCGTTGTGGCCGCGTTCTGGCCCCTAAAGTAAGACGACCAAGAGACCGAGAGAGCCTGAGCGAGCGAGCAAGCCAGTGTGCGTAGTGCGTGCATCTCAGGGCGATCCGGCCCGAATCATCAGAAGAGAGACCTTACACAGTGGAAGCCATCAGGACAGAAGGCCTTGATGGCGTGTTGTTTTAATCAACACCTTGGGGTCTCAGACATGATCTGCATCCAGCCCTTATTGGGCGACGAGCCGCCGTAGTGTTGCAGAGGTGGGCAGTTTTTCGGGCTCGCCCCAGAGCTGCACTCCTGATGACAAATGGCGAGCGCAAACTAATGGAAGCGAGGGAGCCGAGCCTCCGAGCCATCTCCCACCACCAATTCTCCTATTCCAAGCCTTCGGCCCCAGTTTCCCGAGCTCCTGAAACTTCAGGTATTTGTGAGAAGTACGGAGAGGAAGTCAACCAAGAGCTGCTGAAGATGTATGCAGGCTGAGCAGCCCGAAAATACAACTTCATGGCTAGGGTTTGGGGCAGAGTGGGGGCGGGTTCACAACAAGTTTATGTTGATATTATACGTCTAGAGTCTAGAATGTAGCCTTGCTGCCAGACGTCGGTGCATTTAGGATACTGCATGGCTAGGTGGCAGGGTTAATGGCAGTCATGGCGCCCCGCTTTGGTTCTGGGTTTCGTGGCAAGCCCAAGTTCAGAGCGTTGGTTATAATAAGTTATAACCAATGTTTGTGGGGAGCGCATGGCTTCTGTTTAAGAGCCCATGTGAGGGCAAGAGGAGCCTTCGCAGAAGAAGGATGACAAGGAGGACCGGCCCCCGTAAAAGGGAGAAGAGGGTCCCCGTGAGATGGTTGCGAAGATTCGGGGATTGTCCGCCCGGGATCGACCCGTGAAGATTCTTTACATCACTTCTTTCCATCCCTGCACTCCGCAACTGTGAACCTCAGACTCCCTTGCAAGAAAGTGTAGAACTTTAGTTGGGCCACGAGGTGCGCAAAGCGAGCAAGGAAGCTTGATAAGTATAAGTCGGTAAGCAGGATCACCAAAATTGGCCTGTGCGTTTCTGGCACGCTTTCTGACATAACATCTTCTTGTTGTCGAGCTGCAACAGAAGCACAACAGATCGAGAGGCCGTCGTCCTAACAAAGAGCGCACAAGGGGAGACGGCTGTATGTCTACCTGGAGTGGGCTAGGCAGCTTTCCCAGTCGAGAAAAACCTGAGTCTGCCCCATGAGAGTCTGAGCCCTCCACGCCACTGGTGTGAGATAGTCCGTTTAGGGTTTGAGGTTTGGGGTTTGGGGTTTAGGGTTTAGGGTTTAGCTGCCTGCTCAGGACGGCCCTGGTTGGGGGCTTTTCGGCGGCCTGGGAGCTCTGACCTCCACTTCGGCACTGCCGCCAGGCTTCAGTCACGATTTACACTAAGTCGTTCCTGTTGGTTTTTTCCATGTGGCTCCATGCGGTTGGTTGGGGGGGGGGAGGGGGGGGGCGCGGCACCACTGGCTTTCATGCTGGAGTCGGTGTCGCTCGTAGCTTTCAATGAGCTCCGGGGTTCGGGAGTGTTGGAGAATCTGGCCACATTTTCAAACTCACAGTCAATGTGGGGAAGAGGCCGACAGAGAGGGATTAGATGAGGAGAGAGAAGACAAAGAGAGCAAGAGATAGCAGCGGCGCTCGGACTCTCAACTTCGTCTGGCCAGTGGCGTCCGAAGAGCACTGTCGCGTCGTCCTGGCGTGTTACATATTGATAGCCTTGTGGCTCCAAAGCAACTGGCTTATAATCATGCTCGGACTGGACAGGTCTTGAAGAAAGAGCCTTTGCAGCCTGCATACCAAAGACCGAACCTTGATTCCTAAAAAGCATTCAGACAGAGCAGAATCTCTTGAAACTCTTCCTTGTCCTTCTAAGGTCCCTTACCCCTGCGTAGAGGGATTTAAAGGGACCCGAGTGTGGGCCCCACACTCGGATCCCTTTAAATCCCTTTACGCAGGGGCAAGGGACCTTAGAAAGTACAGTGTGGGCCCTCATTCTGTCGAGTGTATGTAAGTTATAAGGGTAAAATAACAGGGGACCCAAATAAAAGCCCTTACTTCGGATCCCCTATTCTTGTTTTGGCTACATGGCAGAATTGCTGAGGCAGTCTTTGCGCGGGGCAGCAGCCACTTGAGGGCAAGCGAAAGACCGGCATGCCGGCACGGCAAGGGTTCGTTCAGGGCTTTCGCACAAGTACGTAGAAGTTTAGGGTTTATTAGGGTTTTAGGGTTCAGGGATGTTCAGGGTTTAGGGTGTTGGGCTACAGAGAGAGTCCTAGGTCAGCTCCCGAACGGAACTATGGTGCCTGTGGCTTGAAGCATTTCCTTTGTCAGCGCTGTCCAAGCCTTCAGTTCGAGATCAGCTGGTACTCCAACAGGCCCCCACTTCGCCAGAGGGACCTGTAGTGATTCTATGGGCAATGCGCCCAGACCTTAGAAACACCGGCTCCTGGCTCGTAACGCTTCGAGCTTTTGGTTCGTGTGTTTGTGGTTCTCTGCTTTCTGGTGCGCAAATTCGTAGAGGCTCACAAGGCGCAGGAAGTTAGATTTAGATGTCCAGGCCCGCAGACGCAGAGCGTCAGCTGCCCCAGATGAGCAGACGAGTATGTGGAACACAGTAGTACGACAACACGACGTCCAATCCCCCCCAGTGCACCCCGGCACATTGTTGTCCGGGTTGAGGCACGCCATGGCGAAATTGTGGCAGTCCTGAACCCTCACTGACCTCTTTCCTCCATGGAATCCTTGTAACTTATAACTTGTAAGGGCTTAGGGTTTAGGCCCTAAACCCTAAGCCCTTACAAGTTATAAGTTACAAGGATTCAATGGGGAAAGTTTAGGGTTTCGGGTTTAGGGTTTAGGGCTTTCCTTCAAGGAAGGCCTCCAGGGCCTCCGCGAGAAGGTCGAGCGCTCCTTTGACGAGGTGCACTGCTCGGATTGGATGCACTGGCCTGAACCCCGAACTCTAAACCCTAAACCCTAACCCTAAACCCTAGCCCTAAACCCTAGCCCTAAACCCCAAACCCTAAACCCTAAAACCCCCAAGCCCGCAACCGCCTCTCTTGCAAAAATCGCAAGGCGCTCGCTGACCGTGGCGAGGAGCCCTTCGGCAGATGGGTGCTCAACAAACCCGAAACCCGAAACCCTAAAACCTAAACCTTGAACTCGAAACCCTTAACCCTAAACCCTGGAGTGATCTTAGAGGGGGTCTGCTAGGCGGGTGGCAAAACTAAACCCTAAACCCTAAACCCTAAACCCTAAACCCTAAACCCTAAACCCTAAACCCTAAACCCTAAACCCTAAACCCTAAACCCTAAACCCTAAACCCTAAACCCTAAACCCTAAACCCTAAACCCTAAACCCTAAACCCTAAACCCTAAACCCAAACCCTAAGGATTTCAAGGCTCAGGCGCCAGGATGCCCCTTGGGGCGTAAAGGGCCGGTGATTTAGAGATCAGCCTGTGCGCAGGGCTGGGGCGCACAGGCCTCGTGCGACCAAAGGGCACCTAGGGTTTAGGGTTTATAAGGTCTAGGGTTTAGGGTTTAGGGACACTGGGAGCCTGTGCTGGGGCAGTTTCTGGCCGTCCGGATGCAAAAAGGGACGGGTTTTCCTTCGCAACCAGGATGGCTTGCGTGTAGATATTTCTTTTTCGTAAAGGCCTTCAAAAAAACAACAACAACATCCGGAAGTGGGATGAAATTCACTTAGCCGTGGGTGCCTTATGCCAATTCATACATGTCTTGCGACTCCATCAGGTGGATCCCAGATCGTCAGGCCCAAGAATCCAAGATTTAGACTTGCGAGACGTGTCCAAGATTGCAACGCCCAAGAGTCCAAGACTAAGAGGATCTAAGAGGCAACAGAGAAGGGCACATGGCCAAAACACTAAGCTGTGTAAAGGCCACAGTGCCACAGTCCAAATAATGAGTAGGGTTATATCCCAGGCTTTTTTTCTATGTCTGTTCCTGTAAGTGTTATTTCGATGAGTACCCAAATAATGGGGGTTGGTGTTGAGGCTTAGCAACAGGCCCAGAACTGCTGCCCCAACACCTTGAGACCTGAGCTCCTGTAGTATCCTCCGTCCTGGCCCCAGAAAAACCAATAAGTCCCCTACCCTAAACCCTAAACCCTAAACCCTAAACCCTAAACCCTAAACCCCAAAAGTCCGACATTCCTTCTCACGCAGCCGCACACTTAGGTCTGTCGATGCGGTGCATTTGCCCCCTGGATCCAAGACGTTGAGTCTTGCAGAGCCGCCAGATTTGGTTGTTTTAATATTGATTGGCCAGTTTAGTAACACTGGGCTTATTGAAATGGTTTCGGATTCCACACGGTTCGCAAATGTAGAAATACAGACGAGCTCAGAAAGAACTTCCTGTGAGCCGCTGTGGGCTGTGAAGGCAAAGGCCAAAACACCAGAACTCTCATGCGGGTGTCATGGCAAATGTCGAAGTGATGTCTGGCGGAACGCGGAGCAAACACAAAGTGAAACCGGAGATGCTGCCCGAAAGGGGAAAGAATCCTTCATGCGATCGTCCCAACGCCCGATGTAGTGACTGCCCACATCCTGGATGCTAAGACGAGGCTTCAAATCCTCTCCGAACTCTACTAACCAAGGAGCGGATTGCAGACGCGGGAGACTCTTCATGGTGTACCAGAAGAAGGCCAGTGAAGGCATTTGAGCGAATGTTGTGGTCCTGAGGGCACAATGAGATTGGGGCCGTGTTTTTTTTTTTTTTTTTCCGTCTTCAGGCGCAAGGGTTCAATGCATCTCGGTTTAAGGGTCTGAGCTTTGCCCGGAAGAAGCTGTCTGGATTGCCTCTAGAAAGTGTGTGCTGCGAGAGTTTCGTAAACCCCCATATATGTGGATGCCAGTATCGGGTGCATCTTAGTGATGATTTTTGACTTTGCGAAAGCGGGTTATGGATGTCACATTAAGGAAAGTCACTGGCTCAACAGTTTGCATGGCATGTTTTAAATGTTCATCCGGATATCGAAACATGGAGGTAACAGGACTTTTTGTGAAAGCGAAAGATCGCATTCATCGTGGCGTGGATGGTCCTGCGGTGGTTGGGTGCTTGATGAGTGAGTGTATCCTCATAGATGGCTGCCACAGGGCTGTGCGCGTTTGGGTTGTGGATCATCGGTCTATTGCATCCGTGCCTCGTTGCCTTTCTGCGCGGGCATGAGAGTGGAGCTAAGTAAATGGTGGCCCGAGCCTGAGAAAGCGTCGTTGTTTTGGAGCGTGGTCTCCAAGAGGTCGGCCCAAAAAGATCCTGGACACTGTATGGAAACTTTCCGCAAACAAGCGAGGGGGCGCCCCTGCCCTCCAAACCGCACTGGCGTGAAGACCCCCACAACAGAGAGCAGCCCTTGCAACGAACCCCCCTGCAGAACACACCACAAGAAATTGCTTCAGTCTTGAATGGGGACAAAGGTTTGAGAATCAACATCGAGAAAAGCAGAGTCGCAAGAAAGGAAAGTTCGTAAACATGGCGTAGTAGCTAAGCGTCGGGGTGATGGCCACGCCCCGCAACACCCTCACATGCTTTTATCGTCCACCTGATTTTCAGCAAAAGTTTCCGTCATGCCGAGGCTTCGCAATTAGCTCGTCGTAGGTTTTATAGTTTGCATGTGCCGGCAAAAGTTCGGCATGTCTTGAGGCATTTCTGCCCCGAGGCATGTGCCTCTAACCGAATCGGCGTGACAAATCAACCAGTCTTGTCCATTACAAGACTTTTTCAAGTAACAACTGATTTGCATTGAAGACATGCAGGCATTCAAGAAGCATGCGCATATGACGTATGTATACCGGAACACGTCTCGCATGCAAGCCCCAACTCTATTTTCGGAGCCCTTGCAATGATGAACAAGTTACCCTTCCACGCAAGTTGATGGCAAAGAGTCCCTGGCTACACAGAGCCACAGGAACTGGTGAGCAGATGGAGAATCCTTTCGCAGAAGTTGTCCATTCGGAGGAGGCACGACAAAGTCCTGAATCAACATGCCTGTAAACCCCATCTTCAACTTCATGAATTTGCCAGCTGGCGTCCACGTGTTGGCCTAAAGTGTCTGCTGCCATGCTCAGCTAAAATACAGCGGGTAAGCAACTGCTCCCATCAGCTGCTTCATAGTCGACTCAGACTAGTTTCTGCAACGACCATACGCGCTGTGCCTTTCCTTGCGCAGTGTCGCCGCCATAGTTAGCATCGGGTCGCCCAGGTTAAGCCTCAAGAGTCTCAAGTAGGAACTTGGGCGGGTAGTTAACTTAAGCAACCCAGACACAAGGTCTCGCTTCAACAATGCAGCGACCTTGCTGCCCGAATCGCATGCTTTACTGATCGATTCCAAGGTCAGCTGTGATTATCGGAGGGTTGAGGTCGAGAGCTTATGAGATCGAAATGCAGCCGTTCCAGCTGAATCAGCTCTCCTAGGGCTCCGCTTGGATTCTTGATGAGGCTGCCGAGAAGGATGCAGCAAAAGCGCACAGTGCCGCCACGGAGGCCGGCTTCTTTAGGGTTTGGGGTTTAGGGTTTTTTGGGATGATCCCGCTGTGATGGCAGTGAGAGCATGGGATAAGAAGCGCCTTAGTGGGGCAAAGGCACATGCTTCAGGATCATGATCGTCCACACGGTGCCTCAAAAAGCTCATGTGCAAAACTCCTTTCCCCCTATCCTTCCTCCACCTAACACAACAACACGCGGACCCCCAACACGGTCCTGCGGAGTGCCAAGCCCCCCGAGAGAAGCCGGCAGGATTCGCTCGAGCCCTGGAGCGCTCACCTTCAGGGTTTAGGGTTTAGGGTTTAGGGTTATAGGCGTTCAGGGCCTGCAGAGACTTAGGTGAGTTTCTGATAGCTTCTGGGTGGAGATAAGTATGAGGTCCACATGTGTCAACATTGGCTTTGAACTTGAGCAGCCGTCAGCGCCGACTTTGTGTGAAGGCGCCGCTCCTGCCATCCCCGGATGCCACCACTGCAGAGGCTCGGGAAAAAAAGCCATAGAAGGCTCGGTAGGCCCTTTTGGGACATTTTGTAATTTCCCTCATTGGGTTTAAGAGGATCGTATGCAGGAAGATTTTTTTCAGAGGGCTTTGAGGCAGGGGGGCCATCCTAGAAGAGGCTTGAGGCGTGTTTGAGGCTTGCGATTGCTGTCACGGACTTGAGATCAAATGGCTTGTCTCATCACTCGAAGGAGCCCCCCCCCCCTTTCTGCCCCTTCGCTGTCCATCCCCTTCTCCCCTTACTCCCCCCATTCCATGACCAGCCCTTACTTAACGGTTGCAACGTTGCAGCTTCAACGCCCAAGCCCAAATCCAGCCCTCAACAACACATTCATTCCACGCCCTGTAAATCAACTGGTCTACTGCGATGCAATTTAGCATGCGAAGTTGCGACTCCGACTTGGGAAAGATGGGTTTAGGGTTTAGGGTTTAGGGTTTAGGGTTTAGGGTTTGGGGACATAATGTTTTCTTCCTGGTTCAGACATTTCTGGCGTGCGCACTTCGGCCTTCAGGGCCTTCTTCGGATCCAGCGCTGTATCTCAGAAAGGCCACAGCTGTAATCCCAAAAGCCTCGATCTCGTATTGAATCTCAGAAAGAAATCTAAATCTCACGCGCAAAGCCCTGCCCTGCGAGGACTCTTGCGCTCGGACTTACTAAGGCTGCAAAACGTAAATGATGCACGGTTTTATTTACGTTCGTGCGTGCAACAGAAGGAATGGACCTTGAGTTTGGCCTGTGTGGAGATTGCTTGGAAAAAATGCCGCGCTCACCAATGTTGAGCGTTAAGTAGCCTAAACAAGAAATATCAACAGTGCACCAAATATAATTGATGGGATGGTCGCGCCTTGTGATGTAGGACCCCTTTGCAATCCGGGTGTCATGCTTTTGCTGTGTGAGAAGAGCGCCCCAGACACCGCCTATCGCCTGCCAACTCGACTCCAAAAGACGTATTATTAAGGTTTAGGGTTAAGGGCGTAGGGTGTAGGGTTTAGGGTTTAGGCCCCCAACCCCAGAATGTGCGAAATCTCGCCCGTGGCCGTCGGAAACGTACGCCCGATGCCCGATGAAATAATAACAACCAAGCCCTGCAAGCCAGATTTCTGTCAACCTCACCTCCCCGCTGTTTCTGACCACGTTCATGAAGATACCCTAATTCATACTAAGGATCATTTCTATGAAATTAGGGTATATTCCTTCATTAAGCACCGTCATGAATATACCCTAACTCATACTAAGGATCATGCTTATGAAATTCGGGATGTGTTCCTTAGTTAAGGCGGTTTTTCTGAAGGAGGCGGCTGCTGAGCCAGGGGAGGTCACGGACTCTGTTCCTCAGGTGGGACTTGCAGCTCGCAGGGCTCATGGGCATGGGCAGATTCAAGAGTCCCAAGGGTTTAGGGTTTAGGGTTTGGGGTTTGGGGTTTGGGGTTTCGGGTTTGGGGTTTGGGGCTTACGTGCGAACCTTCAGAAGATTGAATACCAGTACATCTCTTGAGTCCTTGAAGAGACACCCTCCATGATGCCATGTACGACCCATCGGGACGGGCTATCATGCCCTATAACCCCTTTTTATAAAGCCCGTTTTAATGGGTTGACTATGTGGATTATAAGGCCTAATCGGCCATCCTGGCAAACAAATTCTGCAGGCGCCGATTGCAGTGAAGCCCATGGTCACAAGCACGGCCCACGCGTCTCAGGACTCCGGGCTGATGCGGGGCGGATTTGTTGCACTAAGGCCTTTTTAAGCGGGTTTAGGGTTTAAGGTTTATAGGGTTTGGGGTTTAGGATTTAGGGTTTAGGGTTTGGGGTTTAGGGCAAAGTCTCTTGGAAAAAAGGGGTTTAGGGTACGCATGTTACAGTTCTGAGCTTGCAGCCGGCTTTTGGCTTGTTCAGTTGACCTTTCAAAGTATGGCACTCAGGGGCTTACAGTTCTCTTGAGGGATGCCACTGTCGTAACCCCGAGAATGATGTTGCTCTTGCGCCTCAGCTTTAAATCTACATCCTGAAGCCACAAAAGCCCGGAGCCTCTGGCTATTAATTTCCGGGCACCACAAAAGCCGCAAAAGAGCTTTGAAATCCCTAAGCTTGAAATCCCTATGACCGAAGACTCAGTTTTTGAACACCCCGTCTTTCATCGATGTGGCAGATGTTGGTGAACTAAGCACTTCGCGAGGAGCATGCTGAGGCGAGAGCGCGTTTTTTGCAACACCATGCTTTGCATGAACATCCGAATTGAATCCCATTCGCTATTTGTAGCCAACGAGCTCATCATTCTTTTCTTGCAGTTGAATAGGTTGCTGCAGAGGTTGTCCTAAGCTCTTGAAACAGCCGTAGAACTGACTGCCTTAAGAAGTCTTAAAACCCAGGTTAGTTGCGGCTTGGGGTCAGCAAACAGCACCCAAAGCTCTTGAATGCGGAGGAGCAAAAGGATGCTTGGCAGGCCGAACGAGATAGGCTACTCCGCGAGAACCGTGGATTGAAGATGGACACCTGACAGCATCAGTAAGCTTTGAATGTCTTCACTCTTAAAACCCTAAACCCTTGTCTGGGCAGTTGACGAATGGCTTTGGGGGCCTTGACTCCTGGCCAGCCGCTCTCGAGTCGACCACTTCTCCCTTTCTCGAGACACATGACATGGACCGTTTAGCATCCCTGCAGTGTGCCCTAAACCCTAAACCCTAAACCCCTAACCCTTAACCCTCTGCAGGAGAAGGAAAACTTGATCATGGAGGGCACAAAGATGTCCCATCGCGTGCAAGCCGTGGAGGAGCGCATGAAGGCTTGGATTCTTTGCAGGTTTAGGGTTTAGGGTTTAGGGTTTAGGGTTTAGGGTTTAGGGAAACGGGCCTGATAAGATAGTGCCACAGACAGCCAAACGCAGCAAATATTTTTGCCACTGCTTCTAAATATTGGCCATAAGTTTACAACCATCCGTCGGGCCATACGTGCTGTGCTTTCGGACACCATTCCAGCTCGATTTGCACATATGTGCACCTTGCAGCCACAACCCGACAGTCGCCACCTTACACCACAAGCCAGTGCACAACACAAACGCTGCTCCATCTCATCCAAAATCCAAGATGTATATCTAGCATCCCAGGCAGCCAGCACAAGTCCACAGCAACAGCGAACACAGACCTAGGAACTGAATCCTCCTTTCACGGCACAAGCTGCCCTGGCAAAACACCCACGGAAAGACTTCCACATCTCTGATGTGCTAAAGGCTCGTACAAAGCTGCGGACGATCCAAAACTTTTTTTCGTCTATCTCCTCCCCCCAAATCACAAGTGCGGAAGTGTGAACCCATGGAGGAGCGCAGATATCTCATCCGAGAGTAGCTCGTTCCCTGCCGACATTGGAATGGCAAAAAGCCGGCTTGCTCTGATGACATGAGGCCATGGCTGCTGATGCCCGGCGCTCCGAGTCTCAGATGGCGGATGCGGAGAGGACGCAGCAGGCCCTCCAACAAAGGGTTTTGTCCAGTGGGTTGGGGGGTTCTTACAGCCGAGGGAAGGGAGGTGGGGGCGGGGGTCCATCGCCCTGCCCCCCCACAGCCGCGCCCCTGACCCCCCCACAGCCGAGCCCCTGACATACTCGTATGTATATGCAGGGCGTCGCGCACGCCAAGACGTCGCTCAAAAGCCCCCGTAAACAGCCCCTACACTCTGAACTCTCCCTTTCTTTAGACAAACCTTCAACAGGCTTTGCAGATTTTCGGGCAGGGTCGGGGCGGTCGCTGCGCAGCCGTCAAGGTTTCGGGAATAGCTGGGGCCCTCTTTACCCCATAAAACTGTAGGTAAAGAGCGTCCCAGGTAGGCTTAGAGTAGGAATCAGTCCTCCCCGCACGTAGGTGTCGATTGCCTCAACACGCCAACACGCTCGGTATAAGCCATTCGCTTGGACAGGAGGACTGTTCTTTTTCGGCGTTTTCAGAACAAGGTGAAGAACTAGTCAAGGATGCCAGGATAGGTTAAGCTCTCGTGCACATCCGGGCCCGAGTTTTGAGCTGAGTTGTTCATGCCTCTAAAAGCACTGTTTGTGACCCGGCCTTCATTAAGTTGATTCCGAGATATTTGTAGAAATACTTTGATCCTTTACGCCCAATGGGATGGAGTTCCCAGCTGCTGAAATAAATGCACCCAGGGCAAGGTTGCACCACAAGTTGCAAAAGGCCTAAATGCATAATTTGGTTGCCGCGGCACCCTTCTTTTTCTTGCCGAGCGACGCCATGACGAGAATCGTTTCCGAAATGCCACTGTGGTCAGTGTCAAGCTGTTGAAAAGGAACACAAGCAGACAGATGAGCTGGCTAACTCCTGCCTACAAATGCACGGTAATGCGGCTTCGCTGAGCCGCACAAAAGAAGAGATAGCTTCTAAGCAAAGGCTCTGGGAAACCAAGCTGGCCCTTGGTTCATATAGGGGTCGGAATAATTACTTGTAGTATTCCCTTATGGTCCCTTTATATGTATACTATATTAACCCCCCCAAAAAACCCCATTCTAATTATTAAGGCCCCTCTATTAAGCACAGGCCCAAGATGCGAACCGACACGCGGACAACCATCTGCGACCACCGCGTTCCCAAAGCCACACGAAAGCGACATCTACCAAACCCAAAACAAAGCCACGGGGATTCCAACAATTGAAACACTTTGTGAAGACTCAATAATTACCCAGCACGCTATGTCCGATTGAACTATGCTATAAGACGCCTGATTCCTGTGAAATACTGCGAAGTTTAACTAGAAAGAAGCCCCCAGTGTTCCAACTACCGCGGTTTTTTCCTCCTTGCTGAACCCTAAACCCTAAACGCTAAACCATAAACCCCAAACCAAACCAGTCCAGGGCCTTCAGGGCCAGCTTTCCCGCGCAGCTGCGCGGGCCGAAAAGGCAACTTCCGTTTGCTGCATCGTTGCGGAGGGTTTAGGGTTTAGGTTTTAGGTTTTAGGGTTTGGACTTGTGCGAATTTCTCGGGAAGCATATCTTCCTCACGAAGCAGTTGTCGGCCGTTTCTTCTGCTAAATCAGGAGTTGTTGGCCTTCTTGAGGGTTTCTCGGAGATCGACTCTATCCTTATTAGGGATGATAATAGGGGGTACGCGAATCCCTCTCCAAAATTCAAAATGTAGACAACTGCAGAGTTTCTATCTGAGGCTTTTCAATTTTCTATGGGCGGTATGGTCTACTTGAGATCCGGGAATTGAATGTCAGAGCACATGAGTTGGGAACTCGCTTCCCATCGTTGCCCGTGGAGCACGTGGGCGTGAAGTCTCAGAGGTCCTGCATTGGAACCCTAAACGGCTCTCTAGCGGACCCTTCTGCTTGAGGACTTTCGTCCCCTTCCACCTGCTTTCATGCCTGTGCCTAGACGCAGTTTCCTGGAACCTTCAAGAGACAACATCACACAACCACAACTGGAAGCATAGCAAGATGAGCAGACCCGGGCTTAGCCGCAGCCTCGGAATTGACCCAAGCCTCGTGTTCTTGCGCCAGCTGGTCTGTTTTTCTCACTCAATAGTAGGATTCGACCTCAAAAAGTCGAAGCCGTCCGAAACCTCTCCACCTAAATCTCCGGCACCAGAGATTTTCTTTCAGCCCTAGTAGTAGAGTAGGGTATCCCTTAACCTTTTGGGGTAGTATAGGCCCCTTGTAATCCCAAAAGGTTAACCTTTAGTTCCCCCAGGTTACTGGACAACTAAGCAGCTGTCTGTTAGGCAGAGGCCCAAAGTTCTGAGCTCCGAGCCGAAACGCGGCGTCTGACGGCCGAGTTGGACCCCTTCATCGACTTTTAGGGGGGGGGTTCTGTGTCGGGATGTTCCCCCATATACTAACAGTCCTGAGTCGGGATTCTTGTACCCCCCATGATAATCCCTGTGAAGGACTTGTTAGTATTGGGGAAACATCCCAAGTTCTGTGAATCATTGTTCCGTGGTCAGGGGTGGGGAAGGTTCAGTCCTGGAGATATTTTTGGGTTGCTTAGGTTTTGCCTGGTAGGGAGGGAGGGGAAGGGAGGGGAGGATTGGGGCGCGGCGATTTCAGGTGGAAGTGTGTTGTTCCTGTGTTGCTTTGGTGCGCCCTCTCTGTCCCGGAGTGGGAGCTGGCTCTGAGGACAGGGCCCGGCAGCAGATACAGGGCGAGAAGCGGCAGATGCAGGCGCACTGAGAGGGCATTTTGGCGCCTAGCGTGGTATGTACAACGAAGCAGAGCATCATTCTTGAGGCACACTACTTGCAGCTGTATTCGTTAATCATTAGTTGTAGTACGGGGTTCTTGCACAAATACGTGATCAGTCTTACAGCAGACAGCATGCACGAACAAAGGAAAGCGGTGTATTCTTCGTCTGCTAAAGGCGAGTGCGAGCTTCAATCCGGAAAAGCCAGGGTGAACATCTGAGTACCAGGCCGACCAGCAGGCCCTGCAGATGAAGAGCCGAGAGAACTCGGAGAAGGAGCCAATCTCTCGGAACATGTTTCAATGTGACGGCGAGAGGGTGTGGGATTCGGAGCCTTCAGGCACATGTAGTGGCAAAGGTTTGTGTCTTGCAGGGTGTGTATGATTCCCTAAACCCTAAACCCTAAACCCTAAACCCTAAAAAAACCCTAAACCCTTGAAGCCCCAGCTGCAACGTTAAAGAGGAGCGGAGGATGGAAGAGCGGGTGCAGCACCTCGGGCCGCACCAAAGCTGTGTATGTCTCATGCAACTGCTCAGCCTTGGTTTGTGTAAGCCTAAGGCTGGGACTTTACTTTTAGGGTTTAGGGTTTAGGGTTTAGGGTTTAGGGTTTAGGGTTTAGGGTTTAGGGTTTAGGGTTTAGGGTTTAGGGTGTAGGGTTTAGGGCCCAAAGGTCTTCTTCTATAAGGTATTTGGGCTATTTGGAGTCCAAGGGTAAGGGTTTGCTGAACATTGCAAAACATGACGTTTTGGATTGGCTTTGGCATGAACTGCGACATCATGTGAGAACGCCCCTCAGGCAGCTCATGCACGAGAGGGACGAACTCAGAGCAACGAGTGCCTCGCTAACCGTGGAGCTGCAACAGGCCTGTGTTTGACAAACGGGAAAAAGGCTTTAGGGTTTAGGGTTCAGGGTTCCCCGGCTCTGATTCCATGTACGTGGGGTCTCCTTGGGTGTCGGAGTGTACCAAGATAAGGAGTGTTTGACTGCCAACGCTGGCTCGCACTGTAGCATTGCCTGCCCTGTCAGCAACCTGATTACAGCAAGACAGGCCCCTTCTGCACCGAAGCCCTCCCGGCCCTACCATCACTCGGTTTGACAGAAATGGCCCCCTCCCGACCCCACCTGCCTCGCAAGGCGATGGGGACAGTGGACTCACTGGAGAGGCGCTTGCAGCAGCAGATGCAGGATGTTCAGTCCAGCTAGTCTTCTCAGTCTCATGAAGGTGCTGCCGGAGTTTGGCTTCGGGCTGCGGATTTGGGATCTCACGAGTTGCATACGGCGTTATGGACTTGTTCGTGTGGTATGGTGCTGTCATGGAGCGATGGTGCTATCACACTCATGTTTCAGGCAGTTGCATATCGCCGGTAGAAACGAGTTGCTTCTATTGGGGGTAGAACTGGCCTTGGACCATCCTTAAAGGCACTATAGACCCTGCGCACGATGAGCACGTAACTTTGCACCGTTCCAGCAAGAAGTTGCCAAGATATGGCTTGTAGTAGCTGAGAGGCTTCAGAATTGGAGGTTGACGCCTCGTGCTGCATACGTAAAAGTACATCGGCAGACGGAGACTTAGTTTTCTCAACAACGGACATGGTGGGGGACTCGTGGCAGATGCGGATGTTCATTGCGAAGAACTCAGTCTTTGCGGGGCTTATCCGTTGCGGCCTGCGCTGTCATTCATGGTTCTTTGTTTGCATGGCTGAATCTGAAGCTTCAGGTCCTGCAACCAAGGCCTCGAGGGGGCTTCGCACCCCCTCCCGCCCAAACAAGAAAGACAGAAAACCGAAAGACTCGCAGACGTACGAAAATCTTCGACACAGGGTTCTTGGGAATGTGAAATTCGGCCGACTCTGACTACTGGTGCACAGCAGCAAATAAATAGAGTTTCATTTGAAATTGTAATGCAGAGGTTTGTCATGGCAAAATGTGAAGCAACTAGCCGTGGTTTTCCATCAACATTTGTGGGATCACATGGGTTGGAGAAATAAACTCTCTGCCCAGTACATAGTAGAGAACATGGAGGTTTCCTAGTGCAAAACCGAGAGAGAGAAACGCAGAGGAAATAGATGTTTTCCTATTAAGACATGTAAAAAACATAGAGGTTTTCCCATTGAATCCCACGCAGCCGAACCCCCCCCCCCCCCAAAAAAAAAAAAAAAAAAAAACCTTCCATCCAATAGTCGTCGCACCCATCCAATGGTCGTCGCACCCAGCTTAAGCCCAAGCCCTATGAGGGTCCAATATTATGCAGCCCGTGTAGGGTTTGGATGTTCAGGAAACAGGAGCAGAGACAGCCTCATACAGAGGCATCCTTAAGTGAAGCTTTGCATACTACTACCGGTTTACCCGAAGTGCTTATAGGTAAATTGTATACTTGTTTATTTATTAATATCTATTTATTTATGTCTATCCAAAGCCTCGCTGCGTGCTGCGCACGTCTGCGCAGGACATGGAACACCTCCAGGAGAGGCACAGGCGGCAGATTGAGGCAGCAGAGTATGAGCGCCTGGGCTTAGTCTTACCCCACGGTTCCCAGTGTTTCCATTGTCCTGCACACCGTGTGCTTAAGGTGCAACAGGCTCCTGCCTGCGTTTTTCTGGCACAAGCAAGGCAGGTGGCCACGAAGGAATGAGGCAACGATCGGAAGTAGAGCATAGTTCTTTCTCATTCAATTGCATTCACGTCCCCACGTTCTTTTTCCTAAGTCATGCTTCGGACACTCACTGATACAGACATACAGGTTACAGAAGCTACCGCCTGTCGCAGCAGCCGCACCGAAATTTATTGCTTCACAGCGCCTCGAACTTTGCAGAGACAGCTGTCAGAGCCAGAAGTGTGGGTTGCTTGCTCTATCGTGTGTTTTTTTCATATGGGTTTGCTGTTCATCGGGTGTTTCTTGGCTCTTGTGAAGCGGCTGTGTGTGTCAAGCCCATTAAGGGTGCCCCCTGGACAGAGCCTTGGATTTCTGAATGCACGAAATGCTTAGCCCCCCCCCCCCCCCTACATCCCCGTATAGACCTCAGGTTCGTCAATGAGAGCATGCCTTATCAACAGCGCCTGGGCGAACTCGAAGCGCAGCTCGCGCATCAAGAGTGCCTCGGCAGCACTAGCACACTCCCTTTTCTCACTTCTCTCAATCACTCACTCTGCAGACGCACCCACACGAGCGCGGGTTCTGGCGCTGCCAGTGAGCGGCAGATGTAAAAACTGGGGCAAAGGGAGCTACCCTAAACCCTAACCCTAAGGCCCCAGTCCCCCGAGAGTGAGCCGGCCGAACGGCGCTTGAACCCACATGGAAAACGGCAGCAAGGCGCTTCCTTCTCAACACTGCAACTTGAAATCTGCGCAGTTGGGTTTAGGATTTAGGGTTTAGGGTTTAGGGTTTTAGGGCCAGGGTGGGGATGTTCAAGGAGTAATCTTTTCTGGATTCTGTGGCGCTTGCCTTTGTTTGGCGTGTTTTTTCGTGATGTTCCTTTCGTGGCTTTTTTTTTGGGTGCGTGGGGTAGGACATCCTCTATTGTCTCTATGTTCTTTTGCTAGGAAACCTCTACTTTCTCCAAGCTGAGGCTGGGGAGGATCGAGGAAGAAAAGGATGGAAACAAGGGTTGAAAGAAGGAAGGAAAGAACGAAGAAAGAAGGTTCAAACAGAAAACATAAAGAAAGAAAGCAAGGGGCTGCCCCCCCGCCCCTTCCCCCCAACCCTCCCCCAACCGCTTTGTTTGATCCTTGACCCTCCCCCCCCCTCCCCGCCCCGCGCTGTTTTTATGCCCATCCTGAGAGCATTGTGTTGGTAAATAGAAATCCCAAGAAATTATGAAGTATCTCCTGTATAAGAAATCGATTAGAATTTGCAATTACGCAAAACTAAAAAGAACCCTACGTCAACCCCGTTAACATTCAGAAGAATTCTCTTAACTCAACAAGAAGAATTCTATTAACTCAATAAGAATGCGAAGAATAATAGCAAAGGTCCTGGCAGAATTAACAAGAATCTCATGAAGCTCAAAGGGATCTTATCGGAGGAAATTGAAACAACGCCAACAAAGAATCGCGAAAAAAAACATGCAGCAAAAACGCAGCGGAGGGTTTTCAGCCCTAATATGACTGTGTAAATGTGTTTACTTGTTGTTTGCGTACGCATATCTCCATGTACATTTGCTATTCGCCTGGTCGGGAAAACATGATTGCCGCAGCATCCCCGACATTCCGTCTAGTGGTTCTCAACAAAACGTGCCCCGAGCTCAACTCAGCAACTGCTTGAGCTGCTGCACTTTGCAGCCTTAGGCAGAAGTTCCTGGAGCGCGAAGCTGTTGCATACCGAGAGCGTGACAAGGAGAAGCTGTTGACCCTCAGTTCTCCACGAACGGAAAGCGCACCACCCCCTCAACAATCATCTTCTCTTGCATGGAAAGCTAGTTTTAGGGAGGCCGTCACGGGGCGCGATGCAGTAGGATCGCAGCAGGAGCGCGCCGAATTGGAAGTGGCCAAGGAAGACTTGCGCCAGCGAGAGCAACTTCAGGAGCGCAGGGCCACAGGGCTCAAGGTAGGTAGCACACCATGGCGGGTCACCTCAATCATCTTGTCTTCCAGGTGTTTTTGTCAGATTTTCTTCGGATGGACGGCTTCAACACATTACTGTGGGTTTTGTTTAGGAAGTTCTCACGTCGAGTTCAAGTTTTGATTGTTTGATAGCTTTGTAGATGCATTGTTGCGCAGCCCGGCCCTAAACGCCCCTTCAAACTTTAACCCTGAATGGGCAAGGAGCAGCCTCCCCTACCCCTACCTCGTCCAAGAGTGACAGTCGGAAACAAGTCTCATTCACCCCCATGCAGTGAACCTTATACATCCTCAACTCCGAAGTACATGAGTTCATGTAAGGGGATTATATTCCATTTGGGGTTATAAAAGGGGTATCCCTGTTTTGGGAAATGCCCATGTTGTTGCTTTTCCTAGCCTAAGCTCCTGCACCTGACAATCCGCAGGAGCGGCGGGCGCGCGAAATGCGCGAAGAGTCGGGGCGTGCGCAGCAGGCAAGCTCGTCTTCGAAGGGTGTTACGTGAACTTTCGCGGGCGGGTAAGTCTTTTCTGTGTTTTTGTGAGCATGATCATCACTAAGTCGTGCGCATTGTGGAAGAGACGAAGGAGTGCATGGTAATCTTGTATCGTTTCTGGGAGGCACTCCATCCGATCATTTCATCCCTGAGCCCTGCACCTTCAACTTCACCATTTGTGCCAGTCTGAGATTGAACCCAATAGTATCCTCAGACTGCCTTCGTCGAGGCATCCTCTGATTCTTCTCAAGTGTTTGCCACACTCAGCTAGGTTCTCCCTTAATAGCCGAGGCGTCTGATTGCTGAAAGCTTTGATGTTGCAAGGAAGCATTGGTGCTGATTGTTTTACGAGTGGTCTAGGGTTCTCCCAAGAACCTTGGGGACGAAATGAACCCTAAAAGGGTTTATGGTTCATATACCTTAATAGGAGTTATAGTAGTAATGGGTATATGACCCCAATATTAGGGTTCATTTGGTCCCCAAGGAAGGTCCTCCCAACTTCCACAGGCCATTGCAGATGCCACGGCTGCACGCAGCATGGCTTGGATTGGGCAGCGGGCTTGCTAGCCCTAAACCCTAAACCCTAAACCCTAAACCCTAAACCCTAAACCCTAAACCCTAAACCCTAAACCCTAAACCCTAAACCCTAAACCCTAAACCCTAAACCCTATAAACCCTAAACCCTAAATCTTGCAAGCAATCGGTGCCTCTGTGTCGGGCTCGGCCCATGCAAGCTTCTAAAGTATGATTAGAAGGCCTTGCGACCTAACCCCTGCTGTGAACCTGGTTCCAACCAGTCAAACTAAGGACGCGAGGTCGAGGAAGCTCACTGCTCAGATTCTTTGCGCTCTCCATTTCCGGGGTTGATCCCGGCTGGGCCGCAACAGTCTCCAACCTTTCAGCTCAACTGAACTATTCCTAAAATTCAAGGTGCTCACCGCCAAGGAGGCAGCAGACAGAGCCAGGGAATCTGCAGAAGGCAGGGGCAACCATCGTTAGTTGTTGCTTCTTCTCAGATCTCATCACGAAAGCCCTCGGCCTTCAAGACATTTTGTTGACCAATCCAAAACCCCGAGCTTGCCGATATCCTTAATTGAAATTAAAATTCCGGACGATTTTCCTCATTTCGCTGAGATGCCAAGGGCATTCGTACTCGCAGCTGGCATGAGCCAATCTCGAACCAAGCCTCTTGAGCACAAAGATATCAGACACGGAACTCGCGATCACAAACGATAGCGCTCTCGCATCGGTGATCCTGAAAGTTCGAGACTTCCGGGAATGACCTCTTTGTACAGGTTTCGTGATAGGACTACGAGATGAAAAGATAAATTCGGGGCGGACTTTGAGGGGGATTGCGCTGGATCCTGGACTCCCCGCGATGCCGAAACGTTTGGAATAAAAAGTGTTCTGGTATGAGGTGTCATGAACAAAAGGTACTTGGTGCATTCGTTTAGGCAGTTAAACTCAAAAACGGTGTGTTCTGCATTACAAGATGGATATTCCGGGCATGGCAAGGACTGACGGGCGTGTGGAAGTTTTGAGCATGACTACCCAAAGGCTCCAATGTAGTTCCTTTTTGGGTTAGGTATAGGGGATTCTGGTATTGTACCCCAAAAAGGTACTACATAGGAGCCTTTGGATAGGTTGTGTTTCTAGAGTCATTCTGCCATGCTCGCTTGGCCATGGATGTCCTTCTCGATAAGGGCATCGATACCGGGGGGGGGGGGGGGGGGGCTCGGGGTGCTTGTTGTAAGGGGATCCTACCATTTGGGGGTCTATATTCGGGGTCCCCTGATTCTCGTAAACCGCTATACAACCCACATACATATATATATATATATATGTATACACATACCTTATATAGCCCTATATACCTAACCCCCAAATAGCCTCCAAATAACCCCTAAGGTCCCTTGTAAGGGTCGCTCCTTTTAGTCTTTTTTCGTAAATCCCCCCCCCCCCCCCCCCCCCCGTGTGCAGCTTAAATAGGGTTTATTTGGAAGCTGAGACTCGGGTTTTAAAGAGGAAATAAGGCCCCAAAACGTATACTTATTTACAAGAGCCAACTTCCAAATAGACCCTGTTATCGTTTCTGGGGGGTCTGGGGCAAGGAATTAAATATTTTAAATAATTTAAATCCGAAAAGGGGGGGGAGCAGGACCAGCTTCCCCCCTCCTTCCCAGAATTCAATAATTTAAATCCGAAACACCCCTTTCGGAATTAAATTATTTAAATTATTTAAATTGTTTAAATTAATTAAATTATTTCAATTATTTAAATTATTTAATTCCAGGGGTGAATTAAATAATTTAAATAATTTAAAGCTGAAAGGGGGGGTTCGGATTTAAATTATTTAAATTATTTAATTCCCCCCCCCCCCCCCCCGGAAGTAAATCATTTAAAAAATTAAAGAATTTTAAATAATTTAAAAAATCCGAACAGGGGGGGGGGCCGGCCGCGACCAGGCACCCCCCCCCCCCCCAGAATAAAATAATGTAAGATAATTTAATTCCGAAAGGGGGTTTTCGGATGTAAATTATTTAATTATTTAATTTCTGGGAGGGGGTGGGCAACCTGGTCCTGCTGCTCCCCCCCCCCTTTTCGGATTTAATTAATTTAATTCTTTAATTATTAAATTCCGGGGTGGGGGGGGGAAATAAATATTTAAATAATTTAAATCGAACCACCCCTTTCCAGATTAAATTATTTGAAATGCTTAACCCCTGGATACATAATTTAAGAATTAACTCCGAAAGGGGGGGGGGAGCACATGACAGGTCCCCCCCCTTCCCCAGAATTAAATTTATTTAATTATTAATTCTGGGGGTGGGGGGGCCTGTCGGGCCTGCCCCCCCCCCCCCCCTTTCGGATTTAAATTAGTTATAATTATTTAATTATTTAATCCGGCGGGGAATTAAATATTTAAATAATTCATCCGAACAAACCCCCCCTTTCAGATTTAATTTTTTAAATTATTTTAATTCCCCCCCTTGATTAAAAATTTAAATAATTTAAATAATTTAAATCCGACAAGGTGGGGGGAGCAGCAGGACCAGGTCCCCCCCCCCCGTCCCAGAATTAAATTAATATAAATATTTTAAATAATTTAAATCCGAAACACACCCTTTCGGAATTAAAGTATTTAACAATTATTTATTCGGGGGGGGGGGGGGGGGGGGGGGGGGGGCCTGGTCGGGCCTGGCCCCCCCCCCCCCCCTTTTCGGATTTTAAAATTATTTAAATTATTTAAATTTATTTAAAATATTTAATTCCTGTGGGGAATTAAATATTTTAAATATTGAAATCCGACCCCCCTTTCAGATTTACATTATTTTAATTTGGTAATTCCCCCCTGGATTAAACAATTTAATTATAATAGTGTAATTATTAAATATTTAATCCTAATCCCTATAAGGACCCCTAGTATGAAAAGGAGGGAGAGAGAAGAGAGAGGAGGGGGGAGGGAGAAAGAGAGAGAGAGAGCGGGAGAGAGGGAGATTTGGGGTCAATTTTTGCTCAAAGAGGCCAATGGCAAGCCTGGTCCCGTAAGATTTCGGGGTCGATCTGTGCTCCACAGAGTCAAAGCGCAAGCCCTGGTCCCTAAGATTTCGGGGTCGATTTGTGCTCCACGGAGTCAAATCGCAAGCCATGGTCCCTAAGATTTTGGGCCCAGTTTTTGCCCCAAAAGGTGAAGTCGCAAGCCCTGGTCCCTAAGATTTTGGGTTCAATTTTTGCTCCAAAGAGTAACATCGCAAGCCCTGGTCCCCAAGATTTTGGAATCGATGTTTGCTCCAAAGAGTCAGATCGCAAGCCCTGGTCCCTAAAATGTTGGGCTCAATTTTTGCCTTTCCCTTCTCTTATTGTGCTTCCTTTGAACTGATAAAACACAAGAAAGGAACTCATATGATAAAGCAGTGGAAGGGAAAGGGGGATGACTCCCTGCGCGTGGACCTTTCCATAATACTCCATCATATTCCTCCTCTCGGCCTATCTCTTCTGTTCCTTTCCTTACCCTTCTCTTCTTCTGCTTCCTTTGAACTGATAAAACACAAGAAAGGAACTCATATGATAAAGCAGTGGAAGGGAAAGGGGGATGACTCCCTGCGCGTGGGCCTTTCCATAATACTCCATCATAGCCATCCTCTCGGCCTATCTCTTCTGTTCCTTTCCTTACCCTTCTCCTTCTCCTAGTTCTTCTGTTTTGTTTTTCTCATTTCGAAAAGAAAGAGGGAAGGGAGAAACAAGGGAGAGAGAATAGATAACGAAGAGTGCCATCTTCTCTGCGCCTTGTTTTGTCTCTCCCTCTTCTCTATTCATCTGTCTTCTATTCTTTTCTTTGCTCTTCCCATTAAATATGCAATCCTTGCTATCTCTCCTCTCTCCTTCTCTCTTCCTGCAACAGATGTCCATTTGGATCGTTTTCTGCAGCTTCAAGCGAGAAAGAAGGACACCCAAAAGAAAACACTGAGGGTGCCCCCTTTGCGCGTTTGAAGACACAGAAGGCGATTAAAAGGGACGCCCAGCTGATGCTCATGATTCTCTTTCTCTCTCTCTCTCTCTCTCTCTCTCTCTCTCTCTCTCTCTCTCGATCCCTAGATATGGGCGATGGAACGGGTGTCCATTTCAATCGTTTTCTGCATCTTCAAGAGAAAAACGGACACCCCACAAGAAGGAAAAGTAACATAAGAGATAGGGAGGGAAATTGACCCTTTCCTCTCTTCTTATCTGCTATTTTTCTTGTTCGCTTCAAAAAAGCAACATAAGGGAAAGGGGATTTCTTGAAGAGGAGAGAGGGAACCTATCTGTGAAAAGCAAGAATGGTTTTTTCTAGTTCGAAAGGGAATAGGGAGAGACAAGGGAGAGATGATATGTACAGCTTTGCGCCTTATTTTGTGATTCCGTCTCCTTGCTTCCTGTCTCTTCTATTCCTTGCAGCACGCTTCGGGAAACATAGCATCCTTGTTATCTTTACTCTCTCACTTCCCTTTCCCTTCTCTTCTTCCGCTTCCTTTTAACTGATAAAACACAAGAAAGGAACTCATATGATAAAGCAGTGGAAAGGTAAGCAGAGGGTGACTCCCTGCGCGTGGACCTTTCCATAATGCTCCATCATATTCCTCCTCTCGGCCTATCTCTTCTGTTCCTTTCCTTACTCTTCTCCTTCTCATAGTTCTTCCTTTTTGTTTTTCTCATTTCGAAAAGAAAGAGGGAAGGGAGAAACAAGGGAGAGAGAATAGATAAAGAAGAGTGCCATCTTCTCTGCGCCTTGTTTTGTCTCTCCCTCTTCTCTATTCATCTGTCTTCTATTCTTTTCTTTGCTCTTCCCATTAAATATGCAATCCTTGGTATCTCTCCTCTCTCCTTCTCTCTTCCTGCAACAGATGTGCTTTTGGGTCGTTTTCTGCATCTTCAAGCGAGAAAAAGGACACAGAATGCGATTAAAAGGGACGCCCATGTTGGATTGGCAGCAAGCCCAGCTGATGCTCATGATTCTCTCTCTTTCCCTACATATGGGCGATGGAACGGGTGTCCTTTTCAATCGTTTTCTGCATCTTCAAGAGAAAAAGGGACACCCCACAAGAAGGAAAAGTAACATAAGAGATAGGGAGGGAAATTGAAGAACTCCTCATTTTACTTAGTCATTCCCTTTCCTCTCTTCTTATCTGCCCATTTTCTGTGCGCCTTGTTTTGTCTCTCCCTCTTCTCCCTCCATCTCTCTTCTAGTCTTTTCTTTGCTCTTCCCATTGAAATGCAACCCTTTTTATCTCTTCTCTCTTCTTCTCTCTCCCTCCTCTTCTCCTGTTCCCCTCTAAACGACAAAAACGCAAGAAAGGAAGAATAAGAGGGGAATGGAGGCCCTGTTCCTTTCTTCTCCTCTTTCAATGGATGGGGGAAGTGGGCGGAGTTGGCTCCTTGCCCGTACACCCTCCCCATGCTTCAGCAAACCCCTCCTCTCGCCCTATCGCCTCTGTTCTTTTCCTTGTGCCCAAACGGAAAACGAAAACGGGTTCCTTTAGATGTTCATTGTCCTTCCTTTGGTTTTTATTTCACAGGGAAAAGAACCAGAGAAGAGAAAGATAAGAACGAGAGGTGAGATGAAAACGGCACCATCTTCTCTTTGCCCTTTTTTTGCACCTCCCTCTCCTGTCTTCATTTCTCTTCCACTCTTTTTTTCCATTGCTCTTCCCATAATATTGCATTCCTTTTGATAACTCACAGGAAATTAAAATGGCCTCCTTGTTGTCTCTCCTCTCTCACTTCCCTTTCCCTTCTCTCCTTCTGTTTCCTTTTAACTTTAACTGATAAACACAAGAAAGGAGCTTGTAAAATCAAGCAGTGGAAGGGTAAGCAGAAGGTGACTCCTTGTGCGTGGACCTTTGCCGTACTTCATCATACCCCTCTTTTCGGCCTATCTCTTCGGCTCTTTTCCTAACCCTTCTTCTTTTCATCTTTCTTTTTGTTTTTCTCATTTCGAAAAGACAGAGGGAACGGAGAGATAAGAGAGACAGGATAGATAAAGCAGAGTACCATCTTCTTTGCGCCTTGTTTTGTCTCTCCCTCTCCTTTATTCATCTCTCTTCTATTCTTTTCTTGGCTCTTCCCATGAAAATTTGTTCCTCTTATCTCTCCCTCCTTCTATCCCTTCTCTTCTCCTGTTCACGAGAGCCTTCGACTTTAGGGTTGAGGAGAAAAAGAGAAGAGAAAAGAGGAACTACCTGGTTCTTGTTCCTGAGGCCACCATAGTACGACTGACGTGACAGCAGCGTACCCTCGTGGAAACGTGTATGGCTATAAGAAAACCCGAGTCCCAGCTTCCAAATAGACCCTATTTAAGCCACCCACCCCCCCCCCCCCCCCCCCCCCCCCCCAATTTTAGCAGGTGAGCTCAAGCTGGAGATGGCACGGCGCCGGTCTGCCGAGCTGCGAGCTGGAGACCTGCAGCAGCAGGCATTTTGGGGGAGTAAGGAACAGGTCTAGACTTTGTCATAGTTGGGTAACATTTTACATTTGTAAGGGTACTTAAACCCAATAAGGAATATGTAAATTTTTAATACTATCCCAACCATGAACAAGTAGAGAGATCAGCTTAGACCCAATGCTCTCAATGCCAGGCATCCTCCAGCCTTGAGAAGCCATGAAGTTGTAGAGCTGTTGAGAGTGGTCCGGCAAGCTTCAGTCATCATGGCATCAGGCACTTCCTCGCGGCCCAATCTACCAGGCCCCACCAGAAGCATGACCACCGCAGAGCCAACGGCAAGCAACGCATCAGTTATCCACGTTACGGTGAACCGCCGCAGGATACGAAGCCACTCCGAGAATACCCAAAATCAATTGCAGAAGACAGGGCTTGCGCCCCCTTGTTTCACCACAGCGGTGGGCCTCTCAGCAACGCGAACTGCAGAGCAGCGTTGCGTTATGACTTGTGTTTCCTTGTTTGCAACAACACAAAACAGGCAAACCTGCAAAAAGTTTCTGCAAGAATTCAGCCGACATGCAGGCCTACGAAAATTGAGCCACACCTCCGCACGCAAAACATAGGTGCTACTTTGCTGTCAGTCCCAGCCTGCGAAATGCTTAGCCGCCCTTGTGGTGAAAATTTAACGCCGCAGGTTGCCCTGCAGGCGGTGTTGCATGATATATCCTCACATCTATACGAGCATCATCGTTAGCTGTTGGGAATCTTCTTGCAATCGTCCCAGGGTGATGAGGGCAATTAACTTCGGTTTCTCTTTTTTTAAAAACAGAGTGGAATTCCATGCCGGCACATGCGGGCAAGCTGTGTGTTTGGACTGAGGTAGACAAGCTGCAGACGGCCCCACGGCCAGCTGTTGTTCCTGGAGGCTCTATGCTGATGCTAGAGTAAGACGGAGTTTAAACCCGGATCCTCCTTAAAGTCCTTTTCCAAACTGCGTGAACCCTGGCTTGCCATGTTTAGGCTATGAACCCTGCAAATGCCCATGTCAACCTACCATACAGTCCTGAAATTCTGAACAAAAGTCAACTCCATTGACAAGCGCATGGTTCGGCTTGTGTTTTATTGAGGGGGTCTTCTGCAAGGTTCTGATAGTTCTGATAGCTGATACTGCAACATCCATGCTGCATGGCGGCCTCAAGACTGCTGAGTTTAGAGAACATCGCACTTGCATATTGTCCCAGCCGACATTGAAAGGCCTCTGCATCTGACATTGGTCCGATGCTCCCCCCCAAGCTTTCCGCAACATCGCGATGCTCCTTTTCAGCCGGCCCCAAAACTTCAAGCCTGGGGGCCTGGAACGGTCAGGTCCCGTCCCCTGACCCTGAACGAGCCGTCACCCGACTCCCCATCCTTGACCTGCCAAAACTTTGGCTTACTGGGAGCTGCCCCAATGAGCTTAAGCTTGGCACCTAAACCCCCAGCCGGATAGGGTCGCTGGTGGCCTCCGTGAAAGACTCGGAGCTCCAGCACTTGCGCGGCCAGGCACCTTTTGCTCTCCAACAAGGGCTTTATGCACATGGGGTGGTTTAGGGCTTTAGTTAGGGTTTCAGTTAGGGTTTTAGTTAGGGTGTTAGTAGGGTTTTAGTTAGGGTCTTAGGGTTTAGGGTTGAGGGGTTTCCGAAACCCTAAACTCTAAACCCATTAGGGGTACCCTATTGGGAGGTGGTAGTATGGGGGTCCCTTATTGTCGTAAACCCCCACATGAATATCGCTGGGTATCGCTGGGTATTGGAGGTGCTCGGCTTGGTGGTTGCCGTACGTTTAAGCTGATGCTATTATTTCGGGTTTAGGGTTTTAGGGTTTAAGGTTTTGGGGTTTAGGGTTTAGGGTATTTAGGGTTTAGGGACCCTACTTTGCATAGGTGGACGCCATCACCAAGCAGCGAGACACGCTGCAGCAGGACGTTGTAACCGGCTGAGGGGACAACACAATTTTGTGTACGTTTGTTGTATCTGTGTGTGTGTGGGTGGGGCTTAAGACACACAGACGGCAGGAAAGAAGGCAGAAAAAAATCAACAAGCACAGAAAGAACGACAATGACATAAACAAGCAGCAAGAGAGCAAGACAACTATTAAGCAACACGTTATACATAAAGCAAGCATAGCAAAGCCGGTATACAACTTTAAGCCTGTGTGTTTGCAAACGGGGGGGGTGGCGGGCGCTCCGTCCCGCTTGGGGTAGTTTCACAAGCAGCTTTCGCTACAAAACTCTGACAACCAAAGCCCGAACCGCAATGTGTTCACTGCACATGTCTGGGCCACACACCGCTGTGATCAAGAGCTGTGAACTGCGAAACTGCGGAAGGAGACAGCGAGACTCCAGCAGCAGTTGGAGCAGCAGCACGCAGGCACGTTTTGCAAGGGTGGCGTCTATAGTTCCTTCTCACGGCTACAGCTCAGGACCCTACTGTCCCATAGCCACTCGAGCCGTTCGCAGAGTTCCCCGTTTACGTATTGCGAAGGCGCTCTATCTGTTTCTGTCTTTCTGTTTTGGACTTCTTTGTTTCTTTCATTTGTTTTTTGTTTCTCTTTCTATCACTCTTTCTATCACTCTTTCTATCACTCTTTCTCTTTCTGTCACTCATTTTCTTGCTTTTTCTCGTTCCCTTGCTCTGTCTCACTCTCCCTCTCCCTCTCCCTCTCCCTCTCCCTCTCCCTCTCCCTCTCTCTCTCTCTCTCTCTCTCTCTCTCTCTCTTGTGTTCTCGTGCCCATGTAGATACCCGGTTGAGTTGAGTACTGCAGGCCACATCGTGTATTGCAGCGTTGCGTGTGCATTGGCAGGGCTTCGGCTAATAGTTCGCTCTCAATGTGTGTTGACAGTTTCGGAACTGGCATGTTAAGCCTGCATTGAATGCAGTGACCGAGCTAACGAGTTATCGTCGGTCCAGAAGCAGTCTTCTGGAGGTGCTAGCTCCGTGGTGCTTGACTTGTGCACATGCTGTACCAATCTTGACGTGCGTACGAGTGTGGAATACTGCAAATACACACTGCGTGGAGTGTTGGCTATTGTTTAGGTCTGAGCTTGCTGTTACCATGCATTCTGACGCCGGCGCGCATAATTTTGTTGTGTTCTCATTGTCACGGAATGTCAAGCACTTACTTTCCCAAAGTCCTGTGAAGTGTGGTTCACCCAGCGATTCTGGAGCGAAGTATTGCCGATTTTGCCAAAAACGCAAGCCACAGACCAGCAGTCTCTGCGAACACGCCTCTCCCAGATTCTCCATAAACCCTTTGTAACTTTAGATCCTTACCTTTTTTGGGTTTATTGGGTTTCTTATGAAGGCAGCTAAAAGTTTAATTTTTAGCTACCCTCCTGAGTGCAGCCAAGAACCCTAAACCCTAAACCCTAAACCCTAAACCCTAAACCCTAAACCCTAAACCCTGAACTAAGCCCTCCCGACAGGTGTCGCTGCCCAAACCGCCTTGGCACAGCGCTTCGAAGTTGCGCTGCAAGCCATTGGCAAGCTACAGGTCCAAGCATGTCGGGTTGAGTTTTAAGGGTTTAGGGTTTAGGGTTTAGGGTTTAGGGTTTAGGGCATCGGAGACTTCCAAAACCTGAAGCTGGTGGTCCCAAAGGCTGTAGGTTAAGGCAAATTGCAGTTGAGTGAAGAATCCGTATGCTCTCGTCAGGAAGAACTGGAAGCTTGTCAGCATCAGCGCGATGGCTACAAGCAGCACCTCGACGATCAGAAATGTAATGCTGGGATCTGCGTTACCAGGATAGGCTCTTCTACCCTATAATCTCTTTAGGAGGCCCTTGATAAGGTTCATTGTGGGTATTTTAAGGCCGAATAGCCCATCCTGGGAAGCCAAGCCCGATGTCAATATCGCAAATTGTTGAACTCCATGGCAGCTGGGAGGGCAGGACACCGTCTTTTTTTCGGATCCTTGGATCTGAATTACTGCTTCCCAAGTCTGTCTCGGCGGCTGTTTGTCCGCGCACTTGCGTTGCGTTGCTGGATGACATGGTTTTGAATGACACCATAGCTGCTTTCGGAATCCCAGCCCGCCGTCCTCGTAAGTGCTGTAGTGATGCTGAGAAGGGCTCGCATGTCCAGAGTGTCAACGCTCATGGCAAGTGTCGGCACCACGATCCTTGTGGTGCGAACGTAGGACGCGGAGGCCGTCCACAGCTTCAAAGATCTCCTGTGCCTCGAAAGGTAGTACCCGCCCCCCCCCCCCCCCCCCACCCCCCACCCCCAAAAGCCAAAAGATTTGTTCTGGCGCTGCGCTTGAGCGCTTGAACAGAAGTTTTGCCAGGCACGGGTCGCACGCTCAAAGGTTGGGGCCTCCTCGTCCTCTTCCCTTCGTCTTCAGTGTCTCCTCCAGTCCACCGGGCTTCAGCCCTGAACCCGACTCCTGCTCAGACTGGATTCCTGAGTCTGCACTGCTTAAGTTATCAAGGAAGGTCCGCGTTGCCGAGTTTCACGCCGGGTTCGTTTGCAGGTCGGGGAGTGCATTAGCTGTTTTGGATTGCTTTGTCGCCACAGCCACAGCTTGCTGAAGCGACTCTTAGAAGATCAATCAAGGGGCGCAGAACCGTGGACCAACCCTTGCGGACGACATGTGGTCCCCAAGGACCGGGGTGGGCACCCACACGCTCCAACCCACCCAAGTTTATGCTCGCGCAGGGGCATGAGGGTTTGGGCGGTCGGGTTTGCCGTCCAAAGTCGTCCACTTAGCACAGAGCTGCGCCACTTGCACACAGGCAGCCGAGCAGGGACCGGCATTCAAGAACAATTTTGGCTGGCGCGGAGAAAAAAAAGGTTGTGAAACGCATAGCGCGGTTTAAGAGCTGGGTGTTGTGTTCATACTGTGTTTAAACTGCAGGGGAACCGCCAACTTTTCCTTGCATCTCAGAGAGGCACTGCACACATGAATGAAACATCAGCATCTCCCCAGGCAGTGCGAGCGACTGCAGGCGCCCAAAGATCCGGCACCCTGGCTGAACGCAAGGGTTCGCAAGAATCTGGTTTAGCTTTGCAACAAAGAAAAGCGAAATCAGATGTGCTTGCTTCTCACAGCCGTATGTCTCCACATTCAGGAACCGAGAATCGGTTTTTTTGGGAGGACCAAGAGAGGCTCTCCAAACTGGGAATCTCATCTTGGCGTTATAGTGACCTAGCAGAGTAGTCGTGAACTAAAGTTACAGCGCTGAATTAGGGGTTTAGGGTTTAAGGCTATTATAGGGTTTAGAGATTAGTAGTTGCATCCTCGAATCTGCACAAGGTCCGTGAGCACCTGTGTGCTGTCGAGCAATGGCGTCGCCCTAAACCCTATAAACCCTACGAACCCACAGCCATGCCCAGGCGCCGCAGCTGCAGCCACCTTCCTGACGAGGGAATCCAAAGCTGTTTGGGTTCAGAAGAAGCCCATGTTTGGGCAAGCACAGCTTGCCGTCGACTACCCAGAACCGAATAGGTTAGGGCCATTAGGCCGTTATGGCTCCGTAAGACAGTTGAAACCGACCCCAGAGCCCTCATCTCCGGTTGCGCTGCAAGGATATCAGAACCCCAACTGCTCGAAACCATGATATCCCACGTAGACAGGGTGCCTTGGATGAAGCAGAAACGCTTTGCTTCGCTTTGCTTCCTCTGCCCGGCCTTTTTCTGAAGCTTTGCTCGCAGCGCGGCCGAGTTAAGATCCCGCCCATCGCTGAAGGGGTACCCAGGCTCTCTGGGTCTCCCAGCGTCGAGTTGCGGTGATGGGCAAGAGTATTGTTTGCCGGTTTAAATTGTTTGCACAGTACATAAATGCAGTAAATGCATCAACAATATGGCTTAATTATTCTTTGCGTGGCAGCAAAGAAGGTTAACACACACTGCAGCAAGTTGACAACATGACGCAGTGCATAGTCGAAAGCCGAAACCGCAAATCCCGTCAGACATCACCAAATCCCAAGGCAGACCTGAATTGATTGCAGCAAGAGTTGTCACGCCCGCTCGGTGCGACTCGACTCGTTTTGCCCTGAGCAGCATCATCCCAGCGCCCAGCGCACGAGACACACTGCCGCTGGTAAAAGGTGCGTTCGAGGCCTTCGTGAGCACTCGTAGTTTCCCAAATTTGCTGTTTGACATGAGGGAAGTTGGCTTGTAACTGCGATTTGTTTCAGAACTGCCAAACCAACGAACGGCGATGCCCTCAGCCCTGATTGCCCAAACCCTTTCAGAGCATTTTCAGGGTTGGCCACTCGGAACTCGGACTCTTTCGCATACCTTCAATCTACAACCTGCTAAATCGCGCCAGTTTCCTGTAGAACCCTACCCGGTTCAAGTCATGTGAAACTCTATAAGACCAATGAAGCCGTAGTCACGTGCCTTAAGAACCCAAAACCTACACCTTTCTGAAGGTTCTTCTTTTAAAACCCCTTCTCAGATTCTTTGGTCACCTGCAACAAAGTAGGTTTCGGGTTCTTAGGGTAGTCTTTACCCTAAGCCCTAAACCCTAAACCCTAAACCTTTAAGGCGAGCTGACCGAGATCGCCCCTGGACCGGCCGTCTTGGTGGCCACGGATGTAGCAGCACGAGGTCATGTTCACCTTGTGCCAAGGTTTAGAGTTTAGGGTAGGGTTTAGGGTTTAGGGATGTTATCGAGGTCTTAAGGGAGGGGGTTTCGAGGGGGGTATGTAGCCCAAGGTTCCCGAATACTCCCCACTACTCCCTAAGGCTCCCTACGCTTCCCTCAGGCTCCCTAAGTACCTACCCCCCCATGAACCCCCCCTCCTCAAGAACCCTATAAGCATGTTAGGGTCGTGGAGCCTCAGCATGACGGGTTTGGCATTCTGCAGCGAGGCTTATGGAGCTGAGTCGTCCTTGGTTGCTGTTGGGAGTCAGAGTTTTGCACATCCTTGGGGACGAAATGAACCCTAAAAGGGTTTATGGTTCATATACCCTAATAGGAATTATAGTAGTAATTGGTATATGACCCCAATTTTAGGGTTCATTTGGTCCCCAAGGATGTCGTTCGTTGTTGAGGTCTGAAACCACGCGACTTTTGATGGCCGCAGGGGCTTGAGCCATACTAAGCTTTCATGGGGCTACACACGACAAGCAATGGATTGAAGAGCAGCGCTGCAGCACACTGAATTCCCTGACCCCATGTCCTAGAATTCTAAGAACGGGGGAGGGACCCTGACCGCAAACCCCCCCCCCAAAAAAAAAAAAGTCGACCCGACTATGCTAGGCATCCAGATAGAGCTCAGAGGGGGTTTCCCACTGCATCCAGCGGCTAAGCCCTTGAGCCCCTTGGTCGTGACCACATGCTACGTCAAGCCACTTCCTACTGCGGCCCGTGTGGACTAGGGCTTTTTGCCGGGGTAGGGGAGTTGTTCTTTACCAGCGCCTGAAGCCTGTGGGGATAATGCTTGCCGGTTTGCTTTCGGAAGATCGCGAACCCCGTCAGCCACAACATAGAATGCCCTCGGGAAATGCCGCTTATCTCCTTCTTATGCCTTGCCAAGGTTTGCGGGTTCAACTTAATCTGAACCCCTACAGCCCTCAACTCCTAAGAGATTACCTGAAAGTGACAATGGCGGAGCCATCACGTCCGTGGGTGCACGCGGGTGGCGCAGCCGTGCTGGAGGGACTCAAGTCCAGGCCGGAACGGGCGAATGCCGTAAAGCCAGTCCTTACCATTGCCCATGTGCTTTAATAGGTCTTGCCATGTGATTCGTACGTAGATTCAACACACGGTTCCAGCGAATGATTGAAACACTAAGAGAGAACGGGGATATTACTATTAAGATATACAATCATTCACTGAACAACATTCCTTTCACCCGTGTCTTCGTTCTTGTGTCCCGCTCATCTGTTCACTCACAACCCCTTTCAACTGTATCCCATTAACAGGCTTGTTGATGACAGGAATGAATGAAAAGGTGCTCAAGAACTTGGAAATGAAGACCGAAAAGTTGTTCAAAAGAAAGCTCGTTCTTGGCCGTGAAGAAGTCATTGATGAACAACAACCAGCCATAACATCCTACATTAAGAGCTCCCTTATTCTCACGAGTCTTTCATTGTAATTCTGCTTTTGTGTCCTGGACTTACAAAATTATCACATCTCTCTCTTGCGATTGCACAGCCTGGGTTTGTGAATTCATTGGGTCGCTGTGGGCATGAAGTGACCCCAAAGATGCAAGACATTAAAAAGCCAGAAGCTGCAGCTTTATGGAACTTGCACATGGTGGACAATGCCGAAGAGCTGAAGGCCTTAGAGCCTGAATCCCGGCCGCAAGTGTAGCCTGACACCCCCGAACCGTGATCGAGCGCCACGCCTTGTCCTTGGAAGGCCCGAGCTGAATGGCCAGGAGGTTTCTTGTCTCAACCCGTGTGTACCCTTGGTTTCCGGATTTTTTATATTCGGGATTTAGGGTTTAGTATCCTTTCCTGGCAGTTGTCCGCAGTCCAGTTGCAAAAGGGGGTTTAGGGTTTAGGGTTTAGATTTGAGCTGTGGTGTTTCAGGATCAGAAGTTGGCTGACCTGGCCAGGGTAAGCCACAAGGAGAAAGTGTGCGTTCTACAAGAAAATCCAACCCAGGGAGATTGCATGGTGTAAAACGGAGCAAGCCTTGTAAGACAGTCTATGAATGATGGGTATAAGCGAGTTGCATGACCTCTGAACCTCAAGGGCAAGTCCAAACAAGGAAGAAGCAAACTTTCCACCGCCAGCTTTTTGGGAGCTGAGGTTACGATTCAGGCGCATCAGGGATGCTTTGACATGGCGAGGGGGGGCAGGGTCATGCGGGGTCCAGGATTGCCTTCGGGCCAATACCCCCTCTCAGGGCAAGTGCCTGCTAAAAGGCTTTTTGGAGATTACAGGTCTTCGCTCGGAGGGCCTCAGGAGATCTTCAACCAGAGTCTCAGGGTCAGAGTTTGGACGGATTTTCTTGGGTTTCGCCAGCACCTTGGTGAGGCCTGAGAATGGAAAGGCATAGTAGGTTTACTGTTTTGGGTTTAGGGTCCAGTAGCAAAAAGGTTTTAGGGTCGGGTTTAGGGGTTAGCCTTCGAAGCCAACAGACCTGTGTCAAATCTCCGGTTGTCGAAGGTTGGAGCTTGTGAAGAGGTTCGAAGTGAGGCCGCGAAGCCAAGATCCTTGGGATCCCCGACAAGAGAGCCGATAGAGCGAAGGAGGAGAAGAAGAAGAGAGGAGATAGATAGATAGAGAGAGAGAGAGGGAGCGAGAGAGAGAGAGAAAGACAGACCAGCGGGCCGGCGCGGCCGGGGCCACCCTCTTGAGGGGGCCTCTTCGCTGAGTAGAAGTAGAAGAAGAGAAAGAAGGAAAGAAAGACAAAGAGGCAAAAAACAGAAGCTGCCCGGATGTCAGCCGGGGGCTTGCTCCTCGAGCCTTTGTGTTACTCCGAGGCTCGCCTTTGGGCTTCGGCCCTTAAGCCTCCCGAACAAAGAAAGGAGAAAAAGGAGAAGAGAGAAAGAGAAGGGAAGGAGAGAGCAAAGGAAGAGAAAAAATGCTCTCAGAGCACTTTCCCCCTGCCTTAACTCCCGAAACCCAAATTGCCGGAAGGCCCGGGACCCGGGAAGTGGCCGCTGGCGATGCAAAGTGGCTCCTTTCGGCCACCGGGACGCGGTTTATCAGCAGCCCCAATGACGGCTTTTGTCTCTTTGCTTTCTCTCCCCTGCCCCCCTTTATGGGCCTTTGTCTTCCACAGGGGACTCTTGTTGACTTCGTGTATACTTGGGTTTGGAACATGTTGATTCTGAGGCCTTAGAGGACTCACCTGTCGACCTCCACTGCAACATTTCACATCTCGGGGTTCACTCATAGGGGCAAGAGAGGGCTGGGTCGGAACCGCGTACAGTTTTTCGGGGATCGGCCTTGCTACCGTAGTTTGAGCTTCTTCTTCCATCTTCTGCTCCAACCACTTCACGCCTGCGCTTCTGTTGACGAGTTATTCTCTTATCGCGCCTGAGCTCAAGCCCCGAAGGCAACGTCCCCGGTTCCTCTAAACGGGTAGCAACAAAAAAGAAGTGGCAGTAATGAAGCGAAGACGGATTCAACGGGGAACGTAACACTTCCCGCCCAGTCTGGGATGAATGGGGCCGTATTGAATGAAGTGAGTCATAGTGAGTCTCAATCACCAGTTTATGACAAACCCTTAAATCCCCAACCCTAAACCCTAAACCTTAAACCCCCAACCCTAAACCCTAAACTCTAAACAAGGTGAGGAAATGAAGTTCAAAGCGGAGAACTTGGCCGAGCCCCCTGAGAAGCCAGAGGCACCGATGGGCATTTTTTTCTCTCTGTAAGCCTTGGGTTTAGGGTTTTACTCTATAGCGTCATTCCTGAAGCGTGGGCCGAGAAGCTGAGTCGCCTGCTCTAGTCCT